CATTAGAGTCATCCTGTGGTAACATCACAAATATACACAATATGTCCAACAGAATCCAGATATCCTTTGTAATTTGAGAATTTTTGCACAACAGGCTTTTCCCATTAGCAGCTTAACCAGCAAGCTGATTAGTGCTTTTTATTGATGAGCAGGACTTTCCTCAGAAACAGACACCTTGTTGAGTGTTATGAGCTTTCCCATTCATTTTCTAACCAGTGACCTGTGTCATCCTTATCCTGATTACATGAACCTAAGATCATCATTCCCTATGACAAGCGTCAGCTAGAGGGGCATAAACTGAAGAACCCAGCATTGAGCTACAGAGCAGTGGAACCTTTGAGATGAGTCAGAGTGATGTTTGCGATACAGAACTTATCATCTAACATCATGACCTGACCTAACTAATGCTACTGTAGGTGAATACAATCAGATCCTTACAGCAATGATCCAACATCTAGTGTAAAGCCTTCTTGGAAGAGTAGAGGCTGCTACTGCAGACAAAGTTGGGGGTGGGGATGTTGGGGGGCAAACTCTTAAAACACCAAAGTAAACATTTGGAGGATATGTCACTTTCCTGAAAATAGACAGCTCTGAGCGCAAGAACCAACAGGAATTGACATCCTGACCCACATTTAAAAGCTCTTAATGGCTTTGTTTTGTCTGCTTGTCTGTAAACAATGAAGCAGCCTTAAAATATCTAAAAATTTTGGTTCATAATTGGGAAGATTATATTTCACAAATTAAGTACCTAAAATATACATTTTTCAAAATTTCATATGCCACATGTAATCAATGCAGAACATACATGTAAACAAAGACAGCTCTACACATTCCCAATTGGGACTGAAAGGATGAGAATTTCCCGGCTTTGTTTCCCAGCCATTCTCATCCTGTATTCAGTTTTAGGAGAGCCACAATGTGCTCATTTCATCTTCCTTCTATTGTTTGAACACACACACAGCTGCCTGCACGTTTGGTAGATGGCGGGGGGGCAATACTGCTTGCACATGCAGTGTGCCAATGGCAAGTGCTTTGTTAAGCCTTTTCTGAAACTCAGCACCACATACACAGTGATCTATCAGAACAAAAGCAGCAGGAAAGATGGCATAATATTACACTTTCTGCCACAGACACTCAAATCTAGCTGTTATTAGGGATAAACTAGTATAGAATTTCTTTCTTAGTGTGACCAATACTGACACCAATAACTAGAGATGGCATCAATACCTATCGATACTATGTATCCATTTTGGGCCGATATCAGCAGCTGCTGCAGATTATCTCTACTGCCACTTACAGACCACACTCTGCTCACAGCTGCACTTTTTCACAGTAACAAGCTTTACAGAACATTAAGAAAATCCCATTTGACTTAATTATCACAAAATACAAAAGTAAAAATATGGGTATTTAGACCATCATTAATTTCAAATTATATTTATTTTGCATGTGTGTGAGAAAGGTCACATTGTTAGGCAAGATTGGGCGTCGTTTTTGTAATGTAATCGAACTAACATTAGCGTATTCAATATTGATAAAATTCAATATCACAGTTTTAAAGTATTAGATGATATTTATCATTAACAAAGTTAATGACCCATTTTTTCCTATTCACCATATGCAGTACTGTAAACATTAGCCAGATGGACATTTTCTGAAGAAAAAAAAAACTACTATTTCTTTATTATTGATTTTGCATGTTGCAGTTAATTGTCAGGTCCTGATACCACGAGTAAAGCACATATAATAGAATTCTACAAAATAAACACAGGCAACAGCAATAAAACTAAAATTAGGTTACAGGTACACTGCTGCCTTAATGGCATTATATTGTGGATATAATGCTCTTTATTTATCAAATGTATTGCTACTAAATTCACTAAACCTGAAACACAACATCACATATCACTGTCAATATCACTGGACACCAGACTAGCAAGGCGGCAAATTTTCCAACCTAGCTTTGTTTAGCTACAACACAGCTTACCCAACCTGATTCTGCAGCACTCCTGCGCTGCACATTTTAGGGTTTTCCTGCTGTAACACACCCACTTCAGGCTTGTTGAGTTACTCATTAGTTTGATCAGATGTGTTGGGAACAAAGAAAACAGTAAAATGTGCAGCGCATTAGGGCACATTAGGATGAATGGGATTGTTTTGTAAAACCTGTCAAACCTAGCAACTGTTGCTATGACAGAACATGCTTGGGGGCACAACAGACAGATCAATTGATGTACCTGTTATAGCCCAGTTCTCTAATCTGAAGTGTCTTTGGACATACAGAGTCAGGTTCCTGGACAGAGATTAAGCCTATGGTTATTTTATTTCAATACAGGGGTTGTGAAATGATACGTGCCATGGACTGAATACAGTTTGATTTCACGCTATAAAATGTGTGATTTTGGGAATGCTCCTATGGTTCTAATTAACAAAATATTGTTAAAAGTAATAACAAAAAAGCAATAGAAAAAGGGAATGAAAAAAATAATACACCCAAATGTGTCAGTTACCGTAGTGAGGAGAAAACACGAGTCTCAGTGGCTACTTCTCCCCACAGTATTCAAGCAGACACCAAGTACCGATACTAAACAGGCAAAACGAATAACTCAACAGGGATGTTAATAGCTTCCAATCTGCACCAATACTCAGTTTAAGTGAGTCCCAGTTTACACAGGTTTCTCGAAGTGATTTAGCCACTTTAGAAAATCCTCTCTCACTTTTTTCAGCCAGAAGGTAAGAGACACGCTTAATATAGAAATACAAAATCTGAATGTAATTGGACTTGTAAAGCTCATTTGATTTTGAGATGTAGCCTAATAGTCCACATATTTCTGGTTTACTTTTATTATTTTGAGCAATAATAATGCATGTGGCCATTGCCAAACACACAGGTGCAAAATGTAATATACATATTGCAATTTTGTTTAGGTTATTTTTATGTATTTTATTCTTCTAAGGAAATTATGAGTTATCTCTTCCACAAGCAATGTTGACATTTTTAGAGGGAAAAATATTTTGTGAATGTGAAATGTATGTTAGCATTTTTTCTAATTCTGTATCAAAAATGCATTGTATTGTGAGGCAAAAAAGCAATATGTGTATCACATTGTGAGATCTGAGTATTGCTACACTCCTATGGGAAACAAACCCTAATGTATACTGCACCCCTCATAATATCTAGTTGTGAAGCTTCATATATGGAAAAAGATGTAGAATAAGAGAAAAACCCTCTCTATTCACCAAGAGTATCAGAATCAGGATCAAGTTTATAAATTATGATTCTACACACACTAGTTGCATGACAATCAGTGATCTTAGTCAAATACAAACAGATCCAACGGCAACAACTACACATAAGATAAACAGAAACAACACATATAGAATATGTTACTATTAGAATTCTTATGTCATCGTACTCATTATGAGTTTTTTGGATGCATTTGATATTTTTAAGTGCCACCAGGCATGAAACAACTATATCACATGAACAAAAGGCGCACTCGTTCAGATGTGTAACAACATCTAAGTACCATTTGTTGTCGCTGGCTGACAAAAGCAGCAAAGCACCCTATTGTTTAGAACCTGTCCATCATGGAAATGATGCACAAACAGAAAGCACCTAATCAAAATTCTGATGACTGTTCAGTACAACAGACATTGGCAGTGACTAATGATGCGAGCAATAAGATATCATGGAAAACCAAACCTTCCTAACTTTATTGAAAAGAATGTGATGCAGAATGTAAACACACTTCAGAGATTACTCTTCAAATATTTCTGAGCTCACTATCTTTAGCAAGACTTTAATATGAAACAGATAAGAACTTTAAGGGAGAATTCCACCGATCTTTCAAAATTTCTGTACAGCGGTTGAGATATAAAAAATCATTCAGAGTGGTTTGTTGAGACATTGTTCATTTGCAGAGAAACTTACAGACTTGGATTTCTTCACTGTCATGGTGATGGGAACCAGGAGTCCTGATGTCTACAATGCAAATATAGCCATTTTATTTACTATTCAAAAGCACCAGTGAACCTAGACGTGTCTTCTGAGTTTTTATATGTAATGTTGATGGTAAGATAATGGCTAATTTGAAATAAAATATGTTTCTGTGGGGACTATTTTGCCTTAGAACACCCTTGATGTATCCCTTCACTATGAATAGACTTAAATAAATGGATTAAAATAGGTTTTAGACCAAAATCTTATCACAAAACTACTGTAAAACAATGCCTTAGACATCAGGCAGTGTCTTCATGACCATTTCATAACAGCTTTCTGTGAGGGAGCTTTTAGAGGCATTAAACTCCTCAGACGTCTGATTCCTATCACCAGCACTGTGAACAATTCTGACTCTGGAACAAAGCATTTCACACCAAACCACTCTGAATGACTTATCTCTTAACCATTTCATTTTCCAGATTTTTTTTTTTTTTAAATCGGTATTCCTCTTTAATATGAAAGAGTTTACACTCTGTAGTACTTCAGATCTCTACCTGCAGTTTTACAGAAACAGAAACTCAGCTCGGCTTCTTTGCATTTCTTTACTCTCTATATCACCACAGAGAACAACAGCGTCAGAAAGTCGAATACAGGTGCTAACTGACCAAACAGCGATTACACCTGAGGACAAATGGCTAGTGTTGTTCAGGAAACGACTTCTGAAAGTCAACTGCCCCCTGTGGAGGAGAGATTTTATGGTAAACGATGGAACCAGTTTGGCCAGATAGGAGGAAGCGACACCTTCCTAATCGCCAAAAGTAGGCTAAATTATCAAACGGGGGATTTTTACGTTTGAGCAACTGCCCTCCGTCGCTAAACGACAAGCGTAAGGATTCATTTTGTCGAAGAAAGTTAGTGGTACCGGAGTTGAATGCAAACAGCCACCTGGTACGAACAGGTGCAGCTAAGTGAGCCCGTCTTCCCTGCCAACGTTAAAGAAAACGCCTGTCACCATGATTTGAGACTGAGAGAGCTAATGTAAACCGTCGGCACTTACCATTTTGAAAAATGAGGGAGAGTGAGTGGAGTTGGGGGTTAAAAGTTTCTGAAGTTGTCCGCTCGCCTGGATAGCGTGGACTCCGCTGGCCACATCGCTGTCTTTTCCAGAATGCAGGAACCGAGAAGCTCCTCCCCGACAGGGTGATTTCGAGGAGACGTTTTTTTCTTTTCGCACCCGTATTCCGACAAGGCGCGTCCTTCTGCGCCGGGATTGGTCGGTAGTGTCCGCCCTCCTGCGCTGTGATTAGCTATTTCCTCATTCAAACAGCGGGCCGTGACCAACTAGCCAATCCCTGCGAAGGAGGGCGGGGCTAGTCGGAAAACAGGTGGTAAATAAAACACCTCCGGATGTGCCGCCCCGAGCGTCATCGGATCCAGGCTGTTGGGATTGGACACTCGGCTACACCTGCTAGGGCGTAAGCCTCGAGTTTTGCTTAAGGTGCTAACAAGTGAACAAAAAATCCTCGTGAGTCATTATTACTCCACCTTGAGCTGAAAACCTTAACCCAATCTAATCCACCTAACCTGCTGACTTCTACCATTTTGAAAAGAGTACGATATACCTACCGCTTCCTAAGACTTATCTGAGCCGAATGTGAGATAATCACTTTGGCTACTTGTAGGCAAATGAACAGAAGACAAGGCCTGTTGTTCACGTCCTTCAGTTCCTGTAGGGTCAGGGTTGGAATGTAGTAGAATACAAATTTTGTAATGCTTTTAATACCAGTGATATGTATACAGAATACATCAAGTATCTGTATTCAGTCAAAATTACATTTGGAAAAGTCAGTATTTACAATACAGTTACTTTTTACATTTTCAGGAGAATACTTTTAGAATACCTACTCACTAAATGAACAAACAAAAAGGATGATTATGAAAATCAGTGCATGCTATGTAGCAAACATGTTCATTATATGAATTCTAAAGAAGTTCCTACTAAAGCCTGAGTAGACTTATAAATCAAAGTGACTAGTCAGTTATTTACCTCAGCATTACTGAGCTCTTTTAAAGGAATGATTAAACAAATAATCTCCTCAGTAGTGGACATGTGTGTGAGTGATCAGTTTAGCATTGGTGTTGTACTGGACTTCTGCTCAGAGGATTGCAGGATCAGCAAGGGACTGAAGCAAGAAGTGAGAGAGAAATACTTGAAGAATTTTCAGAACTTCATTTAAATGATGTCATTTTTACATGAAATGTATTAACAGAAGAGTTACATGAAGTAAACTGCCAATGAGTAACAGCAAGGAACAATGTGATTTTTTTTTAGCGTTTTCCTTTGTGCCTTATTGTAACAAATGGGAATGCAGCCTGGTTGCATTTGCAGAGTGACTTAAATACAAATTCAAAATGTGTCTTGCATCATTTATGGTAAACTGTAATATGCAACAGAGCCTTCAGAACAATGAAGATTGTCTTAAAAAAATCCTTATTTTGGTTTTTATCCACATTGATTCATATTCTGTATAAAATAATTATCTGGATTTACACTCACCATTTTGAAATTCTCTTTGTGTTTCACCTTCACCTGCTGTCATTTACACATTTACTTAACCCCGTTATTTCAAAGGAGCAATGGATACACTAGTTGACCAGCATACCAGCATCAGAACACAACATATGCTGGTTTTCGTGGTGATCAGCACATCAGCTTCCATCGCTGCTGACCAGCATAGTAGCATCCAAACCACAACATATGCTGGTTGCTGCTGACAAGCCATGCTGTTCTTTGCTGGTTTTTCTAGCAGGGTGCGTTTGAAGTTGTTTTAATCTAGAATATTCGTAGTGTTTTATAGTATAAAGTTCAAGTATTAAGTGTTATTTGTATTAAGTATTAATTACTTTCCATACTAAACGTCTATGAGTGTTTCAAATATGTTTTTCTTGCTAATATATCGCTGTATCTGCACTCGACTCTCTGGGCTTAATTGCCTCGTGCACGCGCGCGAGCCTCGAATTAGAGGGAACAGACCTGACTTGGATTGCGTCAGTGGAGCCCACTGTCAACTGTGTGGCTACATTAAGCGAGGATAATTCAGTGCGCAAAAAAAGCAAAAAAAGAAAAAAAAAAGAAAAAAACAGAGAAAACGGGCTCAAAACTCCAGGGCTGCGTTTAGAAACGTAACAACACGTTTATTTAAACGGAAACGGTGTTGCGTTGAACACTTGTGTTACACAAGCGTTGCAACTATGGCAGCCTAATTTTAGGTTTTTAGATTTTTCAGGGCCTGATGAAAGGGGTTTAAATGTGTGTTTTATACTTCAAAGTACCTCTTCTAACGTCTTAAGTAGTTGCGCACATCAAGCTGCTGATTGGGTAACACCTCTGACGCACCCATCAAGAGAGAAAACGTACCCGTTTCGACAAAACATCGCTCAAGCCGGAAACAGGGTGTTATATCAATTTGTCCTACCCATATCATTTCTATAGCTTGGTAATTTAATGATTCAAACGGTTTATTGTGTTTTTAACGTTAATTCAGTGCAAATTCCGATTAATATTATTACTTCCACCCTGATAGTGTAATTTAGGCGATCACAATATTCGAATTATTCTTTTAATGCTGGTAACGTTTAACGTCATTAATAAGGATATTTAGGCTATCAAATTATCCTACCTAGAGATTTCACTACAGGAGGCATTTTCTAATAGGATAATTTAGGCCATCAAAATCCTACCTACAGTTTTATGTAGAGCGCTACTTAAAATATGCAGTACGGTAGGACATTTTGACAAGGTAGCACAATTCGTCTGAACACCGGGAGTCTCCCCACTCAGCAAACACACAACGTCAGAAGTGCTGGTTACGTTGCCTGAACAAGATTGTCACAACCTCATTCTTCAGTAAGGTTGCCAGATTTTATTAACTACCTTTTGGCAACTTTGCAAAATTACATGGGGTCCTGGGGTGATTTTCTTCTTTCGCAGGTGCTCCTGTGATTTCCGTCCGAATCGGCCCTGTGGTGTTTTTTCCCTCATCTTCTGAGAAAATTACGGGCCGAATTACCTGCTGTTTTTCAATGAACTCAGCGCTCAGCAGAGCGGGGGAGACAGCATGACACTTACAGAGATGTATGCTAAATGTATCCTGAACAGCTACTTTTTATGGATTCGAAATACGTCACTGAATACATTTAGCAGTGTTTTTTCAGTGTGCAGCCATCACTGTTTTTTCAAAGTATTTCGCCCAACCCACGTGTGTAAATGAATTATTGCTGTGCACTGAGAACTTATACGTTACATAAATTCCATCCGTTAAATTCGTAGCCGACAGTCAGTAAACTGTAGGGTATAATGTAGTAGGCTAACTGAAATCAGACTGGAGCTGTTGTCCTGTCACATTCTGGCCGATAGAGGGCGTGAGGTTGAAGTACAGTTGACACGTGACCCACAACATTACAGGCACTCCGAGTTACTCTGCGGAGCTGAACGGAGGGTATTGTGCAATGTCTCTGTACAGGAATATCGTGTGGTTTATCAAAGGAATGCGGGAATATACGAGGTACTGGACACACTGGCCATAGATTCTTCAGTATCCTTTAGTGTCATTGTTTTTTTTTTTTGTTGTTGTTTTCTTTTCCTTTTCCCTGAGTGGATAGTTTATGTTAGTCTAGCTCAGTGGAGAGTTTGTATAAAAGTTGCTCATGTAGGTCAGCGCCAAGTCTTTCCTCAGTACATGTGACTTTACATAAATATTATTGTCCGTTGTTAACTGTGTGCTGAAAAGTTTTGGAGTTTGTTAACGCAGCGTTCATTGCTAAGTTTTTGCAAGTCATGGCTCATATTTTGGGAAGCAATGGCAAATTCTTAATATTAAAGGGGAACTCCACCCATTTTTCAAGAATTCTACGTAATTAAGTGGTTGAGATGTAAACAATGTTATGCAGACTGGTTTGATATGAAAGGCTCCGTTCTACAGAAACTTACAGAGCCAAAATTGTTCACAGTGATAGGAACAATATATTATTATTATTATTTTACCGTCATCAACATTGGGTATAAAACTCAGAAGACACGTGTTGGTTGTGGATAGTATATAAAATGGATGTATTTGTGTTGTAGCAGTCACGGACTGAATTATGCAGAATTTTTGAAAAAATGGTGGAATTCCCCTTTCAATTTGTCTATCTGTGCAGAGCTTTGGCCATCACTCCTAACTCCTTATTCATTGTCTTGGTGCAAGGTCAGTTTCTTGGTACAATGGGCGCTATTGACAAATGCATCTTACGCTGTGAAGTGCCTTGTCATAGCATGAATAGGCCCCTGTGCAGAGCATTTGTCTAATCCACAAAGTGAGCAAGCAGTGGTCATTTATTTTTCAACTGTAGGTGAGAACCTTCCATAGTTGGAGTAAAACACCAGATTTGATCCATTAGTGGAATATTGGCCTTGATGAATGTGCATAGATGTTCTAAAGCAAGGTAGATCAAGAATATCTCGTTCTATAGTAGGGATGCACTGGTTACAAATGCAGTAAAATTAATAAAATGCTGATATTTCATTTTGCTTTCACACAACACTATATATGCATCATCAAATCATAGTCAGATCTAAACATTTGTCAGATTCTGATATTTTATTAAGCAAATATGTAGCAATATGACGTCGATATCATCAGACATCCCTAATTGATAGCCCGAATCATCAGGTCTGAATTTATGATGCATGGATTACTAGTACTTTTGATCATTTGGTGGATCAGCTGATTGCTTGATTGACTCTTTCATTCTTTCATTCATTCATTTATGTTTGGAGCAGGGCTGGACATGAAGCAGCCTCCAAAAACTTTGTGGCCAAAGATCTGGACGTGTCAGTGGTGGGCCGATCATTCATGATCACTGGAGCCAACAGCGGTATTGGGAAAGCGGCAGCCATGGCCATAGCAAAGAAAGGTTTGTCTTCTGATTTACAGAAGTAATAATAACACTGAGACCTGGGACTGCATTTAATGTCAAACCACTGTAAATTAGATTTTCTCTCCTGATCACTACTTTTGCTAGGTGTTTTTAAAGCACTGGTATTGGACTATATAAGGTGTCTTTTATAAGATCATATTATTTTGTATTGTTTTTTTTTTTAATTGGTAGGCTGACTGATCAGTTGACTGCAGAGCTTATAATGTGTAACTATGGAGGTTCGCACAGGCCTATGTGAGGACTGAATTCTAAAGTGTGGTAAATAGAAGCCCTGTATTGAGGCCTTCTTGCGTAACTGATGCCGTGTATCCTTTGCAATAATGTTAATCTTTCTTAATCACTTGTAGCGTATTGCACAGTAAGGGAACCTTTGCACAGATTTTTCTATGAATTTCTGTCTTGCTTTAAAGGGGAACTCCACCAATTCTTCAAAATTTCTGCATTAAAATAAGATTGAACAAAGTCATTCAGAGTGGTTTGATATGAAATGCTCCGTTCACAGTGTCAGAATTGTTATAATAGTAATACTAGCACAAAATGTAGGAAAATCTGCACTTTTAAATACTGCATATGGTCACTGATCATTTAAGGTCTCATAGTTTATTTAGTAATGATTGTAATGACTCTCAGTCCAAATCCTGCCACGAAAACTCGATTAAACTACTGTATTAAAAAAAAGTGTTGATTAAAATTGACTTTGTCAGTGAATCGACAGTGATTAGTTGGCGGTTTACATATAAATATGCAAATATTTAATTCTCCTACTGAGCTCTCATACAGTAAGAATGCCTAATGGACAAGTTTACATACATTTACAGTGGATTGCAAAAGTTTAGTCAAATATTTGTCTGAAAATAAGTACACATCCACTCCGGAGAACATGATTCTGCACTGTTTAATGCACGATTACTGTTTATTTACTGAATTTAACATAATGGGGAAAAATACAGCATAAACGGTGCCTGTGTGTTCCGATATGTTAAACTAAGCAAATACATTGAAATTGTGCACTAAAATGTGCAGAAAACATTTAAGTGTGTCACCTGTAGAGGTTGTGTTCACTTACTTTTATATAGAAAATCAGTAAAACATAATCAGGGATGTTCAGACTGTTGCATTAGACTGTATATGCACACACACAGTGTTGTTCTAATTTTAAAAAAAAAGTCGTTTTAAAGACTTCTTTTTTGCAGTAACATAGCTTGACATCCTTGAGTAAGTCTATGCATGCTTCTATTTGCTTCTTCCTAGTGTACAGTTAAGTCTATTTTTACTGTTGAACTTTTTTAAAAGCTCAAAAAATAATCGGCAAAAAATCTTGGTGCCTTGCTCACTTAATGTAATTGATAATAAGAGTCTGGTTTGTTAGAGCAGGTAAAACACAAATAAATGGTACAGTACTAGAGGATTAAAAATGAGGACCACTAGTTTGTGGGAGTTACTTCTAGATATGCAGCTGATCTTTATCTCCTTGTGTGTCCCTTTCCAGGTGGAACAGTCCACCTAGTGTGCCGTAATAAAGAGTGGGCCGAGGCTGCCAGAGAGGAGATCGTCAGGGAGAGCGGTAACACTGTATGCATACTGGATTAGGACACGGTCATTAAATATATCAATAATTAAATCTCCACAATAATGGAGAAAAAAGGACAAGAATGTTGACATGATGAAATGTCTTTGCTGTATAAGTCTGTGAAAGTAAAGGTAATTTATGGCATTAGTTAATGAAAAAAAAAGCAGAGAATGGAGCAACACTAGGGGGCCAGATTGTGGAAACCAAAACTCTTAAACCAAACATTTTTTTTAAAGCAGTTTGATGTACTATGTTTGACAATTCAATCCCCAGCCCATACAGTTGCAGCTCGTTTTAAATTCATTGTGGTTGTGATATCACAACCATGGACAGATTTAAATAAGACCACCTGTTGAAGTGTTAAGGATCGTTGCTACTGCAGAGTTATTAGTTGAAGTTAAAGATTCTTACATATTTGACTTCTTTCTTGCGGCCGCTATATTGAAAGCTTAATTCCATCAGCTCAAAACTTCATCAAATGAAATCATGAAGATGTAAACAAAGCCAATCAGAGTGGTTTGATGAGAAATGCTTAATTCTACAGAAATTTATAGTCAGAATTATTCACAGTGGCGGTGATGGGAACCAGACATCTGAAGCATATAATGCCTCTAAAAGCCACATATAATGCTAAATTAAATTAGAGTGCCTCTAACTGGACGTGTCACAAGTACAAACATTTTTAAAACTAGCTCATTTTTTTCTAAATAACATCTTCTAAGTAAATAGCAAAAAAACACCAAAAGTACAAGCCCCATTCACGATCATGCAAAATAAAAGCAATGAAATAGTCATAGCTACTTACATCAGAACGGCAAGCAATTTTTGTTTACTGTTAGGCTGAATAAGGACACACAGTGTCACTGATGCAAAGCACTGCTCTTATGAAGCATCAGAAGCTATTTGACTGCTAATGGTGCCCCCTTGTGGAGAATTTACAGCCTACAAAACGTGATTCTTCATGTAGCACTAGTAACTTTAGTGATGTTACCTACCACGTTTTACACAGAAAGCAATTTAACAATGTTGCATTGATTTGGAGAACAGTTTTTTTATGTTTTAATTTTTGTTTTTCTGTTAGCTGTTGTTGCATCAAACTGTACAGCATATAAAAAGCATTTTATTTCCATACTGTCCATCCTGTGATCATCCAGAGTATGATATTTGCAACTATAGATCATATAACATGCAGAATTTCTGGGAAATAAAGACTTTACTGTGTGCAATTTGTTACATGAGATATGTTCTTGTAGGTTTCATCTAAATCTTCCCACAGTTGTTCAGCCTATGGAAAAAACTGTTTTTTCAGAGTGCATTAAACAGTGTGTTAGCGTATAATGCAGTTATTATCCTTACTGTGAAAAAAAATTTCCTTCATTATTTCTGGACATAATAATAATTTGTTAAATTGACTAAGCCATAAATATTATGCATCTTATTTCAGGAGATCCATGTCCACTTGTTGGATCTGTCAGAGACACGAAAGGTTTGGGAGTTTGCAGAGGCCTTCAAGAAAGAGTACACCTCCCTCAATGTTCTGGTTAGTTCTTGCTTATGGCTTATGTTCCTGCATCTAACAAGATTTGGAAGTTTCTAAATGATAAACACTTACGGTAGTAATAAAGTTTCTGTCATTCCGTGACATTTGGCCCAGAGGCTCTAAATGCCTTGTAGTGATCTGTCATGAAAAGTGCAACACAGAATGCAAAATGAGCTTAATCCATAACATTCTTCGATTTCTTTAAGCATTGTGAAGTTCAAGAATTTAATTATAATCTTACTAATATTAACACATATTCCTACAATGTGGTTATAATTAGGATGATATAATGGGTTGTCATTACCATAACTGTGTGTCTTTAACAGTACAACCAGTTCTGTGTTTGTAAAGTTAACAATTTTTACGTCTTGGAGAAATACTCTGGCTAAATTTAGGATTTGCTAACCCAAACCTATAGCTACCATGCAATGTATGCAATATATGTAAACTGGCTATTTCTGAATAAAAAATTTAATTCTCAATTCTCAACAAAAGTACTCAACACATTGGTTAATATATGCTTAATATAGCTACTGCCAGATGATCAGGGATAAGTTGTAGGATTTCTTAACTATACCTTTCCCTGTAACTTTTCATTTCTGTGTTAGTCACATAAGCAATTGTTTGAAAAAAAAAAAACTGTATCGCATAACATAAGTAAACAAGTCTTGTTGGATTTATAGTAAAATCATGGTTATTCCATGGTTATAGCCTGATGTTCTTGCTCCCCATTCTCTCTCTCAGATTAATAACGCTGGCTGTATGGTGAACCAGAGGGAACTGACCTCAGATGGTCTGGAGAAAAATTTTGCTACCAACACTCTGGGTAAGGCATGTATATTACCTGTGTAATAACTAACATTGATTATCTCGTAACAATGGCACATGTCAAGATCTGGCGTATATATGAGACAGTGAGTGAACATAAGGTTCTCATAGTCGACATGTTGAATGCAGGAGAAATGGGCAGGTGGGAATACCTGAGTGACTTTGACAAGGGCCAGATCGTTAAAGTCAGACGACTGGGTCAGAGCTTCCTGGTCAGCAGCGGTAAGTACCCGCCACCAGTGGTCTGAGAAGGGATAAACCATGAACCGGCAATAGTGTGCAGCCAACGGTCATCGAACGTGAGGGCAATAAAGTCAATCCCATCTGGTCCAAACCTGACAGAAGCGCTACTGTGGCACAAGGTACAGAAATATTTAAATGATGTCCTGGTCCATAGACAGCCGGCACTTGTTCACCGTTTATCTGGGGAAATGATGGAACTGTGGGAAGAAGAGAAGCCGGTGGAGGAAATGTGATGCTTTCGGGAATGTTTTGCTGGGAAGTCCTGGGTTGGAGCTTTCATGTGGACATCAATTTGACACATGCCACCTACCTAAGCATTGCTTCGGACAAGGTACACCTCTTTATGGCAATGGCTTTTAGAGTCCGTGCCTCGGCAGGTTAAAGTTGTTTTTGGCAGCACACGGAGGATGGTTCATTTGTGTGTGTGTGTGTGTGTGTGTGTGTGTGTGTGTGTGTATGTATATATATATATATATATATATATATATATATATATATATATGTATATATATATGTATATATGAAAATTATTTTTTTTTGCTTTCGTTTCTAATTTAATACAAAATTGAAAAGTTAAATCTTTGAAATATTAACATGGATTTCAGAATTTTTTAGTATTTGATATGTACATCTTTTGCTTTCAATGACACTCTAGCTAGCATGAACCACACAAGTTTGTGCAAGGTCTCTGATGAGTAGAAAAAATCCACCTGAGAGTCAACTGAACACGAGCTTCAGTGGAAAGGATAAGACTGAAAAAAAAAATCTGACCTTTTAATACACAAGGTTTTTATGAGATCAATGTCACATATTTGCTTAAATTTGAAGAGTGATCTAAAACAGTGCAGCAGGCTGTTTTTTCTTCATTCGTCTTTCAAACCAAACTGTGTGTGTGTGTGTGTGTGTATATATATATATATATATATATATATATATATATATATATATACACACACACCACATGGGGAAAATTAAGTCATACAAGAAGCAGATCCACAATACAGCCACAATAATACCATTGCTATTATATTGTTACACACTACAATCTATTGAAATGCATGGATAAATAATGGATGAATAATGTGACCTTCAAGATTAGGCTGCATTATTTTGACCAAAATAACTGACTTTTGTGGAATTACATCTCAACACCATGAATGACCTTGATTCACCCAAAGAAACACAACACTAGGATTGGTTTGAGGGCTAATTTGCATATAGAAGCCGTCTGTGATGTCACCATTACAAAGACCAAGAAAGCAAATAATGTATTGTGCAGGCCCATTCACAACATATATCAAAGGCTTCAAAGCTGAGTAAACCAGTGACTCTGTAAAAACTCCACTGTCTTTGTTTAGGTGTCTATGTTCTCATAAAGTGTCTGATTCCTCTGCTGGAGAAGAGCAGAGACCCAAGAGTTGTGAGTATAAGCTTACTTGCATAAAAAGGAAACTTTATTTGTGCTCCCTCTGTACATTTTGCACATAAAAGATTTCACTGTTAGAAAGAAGGATCGATGTTCTTAGCATACAAAGTGTTATTTTCATATCTGTAATTTGGGTATTTCTAAAATTTCCCTCTTGTACTTTAATTAAAATCAAATAAAATGAACTGAGGAGCAGTGTTTTTCTGTCACACTAGATCACTGTGTCTTCAGGAGGCATGCTGGTACAGAAACTGAACCCAACAGACCTGCAGACTGAGAGGACGACCTTTGATGGCACAATGGTCTGCGCCCAGAACAAGGTATATAACTGCTGCAGAGTTTAAACTTGCTAAGCATTTACACTTAAACACTGTATATGTAAAAATGTAAATGCTGAAGATGTAAAGTACACTGTGCAAATGTCAGAGACCACCCTTCATTTATCTTCATTTGTCAGCATCCAGGAAACAGCAGAAAATATATCACTGTCCATTTTTGTCAGTTTTTCAGTTGTTGACATAAGTTGAAAGTGCCTGTTGCCCTGTACATTGTGTGTAAATCTCATGATGAATGGACTGAAAGAAATGGCCCAAAATTACTAGGAAAAAAGTTTGGTTTCATTGACTTACATTAAAAGTAAAGTATGTTTTTCCTTCTCCTATAAAGTTATCATTTTGGAGATTTGGAGGTTTTCTTCCCACAGAAGCAATATATTGAACAGAAAATTACATAGAAACCTCAACAACTACTCACAGTATCATTTTTCTTTTTCTCAGTAACAGCTTCTTAAACAGCTACATATCCTTTCAGACCCACAGTGTTGAGTGTTCTTTTCTCAGTGGAGGGATGGACTGAAACACCTGTGGATTTTAATGATTTTTTTTTAACTCCAGTTTTGGGAACCTGACTTTTTTCAGTAATTTTGCTTTGACTTACCCCTTCCTTATGTAAATTGATTATATCTAAACATCACCTGAAAATAAATAATTTGTAAATAAGCAAAGGGTGGTTTCTGACTGTAGCACACCATGTGCTACACTGGGCAAATAAAGGACGCTGGAGGCAGGAGAAACATATGCATTAGTCATTTCAAACTTCATTGTCATGCCAAACAAACAAAAAACGACTCACCCATAACCAAAGCCGGCCACATTTCAGTGGCGTCAGAGCTAGACTTTTCAGTCCTTATCTATCTTGAGCTTTTCAGCTTTGCAGTCTGTCACTGCTGCTGCTCGTCCCTCTTTTTATTTCTCTCTGTTCCCTCTCTGCTCCTATTAAAGGTGCTCAAATTTCCCCCTAATGAGAGCAGGCTGCATGAGCACCTTTAAACAGAGCAGAGAGGGAACAGAGAGAGAGAGAAAAAGAGCGCCTAAGTCAAGAGGGAAAGAGAGCTGGTTGCTTCGCCTCCTCGTCACCGCTCCCCAGCTTGGCCACCAGGATCAAACGTGAGGCATAATCTAGCGACCTTGCTGTGGAACAGGGGGCGGGGCTTGGGAGGCGGAGTTCGGGACTTGTGCGCCGCCTTTATGCCTCTCATGGCTGTTGTCTTCCCCCCGCTGTCACTCGCGACACTCAGCATGTGTGGCTCTTGCAGCTGTCAGCGGGTCCTGGGGTATGGGAGCTTTTGCACAGTACTGCTATACACACACACGCACATAAATTATATATATATATATATATATATATACATATATATATATATAATAAAATAATATATATATATATATATATATATATATACACACACACACACATATGAGAGAGAGAGATAAATATACAGATATAGACATAGTAGATAGATAGATAGATAGATATAGATATATACACACATACGCACAGATATATATGCACTAACTTGAGTTCTGTATAAAATTAGCTGAGTGACGCGTACAGCCTATACTTAATTCAGGAACGTCTAATACCTTAGAAACAGAGTAAGAAAATAGAGTCTATTTTTATGTCTCCTTTAACTAAGGGTTCAAGGTAAGAAAAGCAGAAAGGCGAGGTGTCTTTTATTATGTTTTGACTTTTTAATCACATTAACGAGGCAAATGCCACCCTGCACTGCCGGAAGTGCTGAATGTAACCTCCCACAGGCGGAGAGAGAAGCGCTTCTGTTCCCCTCCAGGCAGTTGCCAAGCAACAGGTGACACTAAGCGCCACAGGGTGACTGCTGGACACAGCTGAGTCTGAACAGAGTAATGATGATGACCTTTATCCAAACACTCACTTTCCACCGCTATCTATGAAACCTGAAAGATCACAGCAAGCATGTATGTGTGTGTGTCGTGGTCTATAGAGGCAGCAAGTGGTGATGACGGAGGTTTGGGCTAAAGCGCATCCCAAGATCCATTTCTCTGTGATGCATCCAGGCTGGGTGGACACTCCAGGTATCAATGGGCTTGTACCAGCACTTAATACTCTAATAACACTCTATTATCACATGTTAACTGATTTATATGCTAAGAAGAGATGGTACGATACCACTTTGTCTTTTCTAGTACCAATACTGATACTGAAAGATGGCTGTCTAAGAGTACTATACTTAAATTACTCAAACAACAGTGAGAAGTAAATAGCCAACATGACTAATACAAAACAGCCTTTTTAAAATATATCAAATATTGCATGAAAATAGGATTCTTTAGACGAATGGGGTGCTTTTTTTTTTGTTTTATACAGTTCATTAAATTCTTGATATTAACTGGGTGTGTGAGGTACAAACTCCAAGGTACTGGGTCATTATTTTGAGTAAGTTGATGGTAAGTTTAAGACAGCTGAACTAAATTAGACAGAAATGGTAAATACAAACATAAATCAATCTAAATCATAAAATGGAAGCATTAAATGGTAAGGACCCAGTATAAACATAGTAAGAATCACGGTTTCATTTACTGCCCAGTTTTAGTTTTATTTCTAATAGGCAGGTATGTAATATATAGGACTCGTGTCTTTGTACCACCTTTTTACCCATATACTGTCATATGTGAAAAGAAAAAAAAATCACAGTTTGTTGATTTCCAATATAAAAATAAGTTAACATCCTCTATAGAGAACAAACTTAAGGCATTTTTCTGCCAATTTTAGTGCACAATTTCAATTTTCTTTGCTGAGTTTAACATATTGGAAAATTATTAAACATTCAGTGTTGTTTTTTCCAATATGTGAAATTCAGCAAGTAAATAGTATTTGTGTATTAAAATGTGCAGAGATGTGTTCTCTGTAGAGGACATGTTGATTCATTTTCACTTAGAAAAGCAAAAAACCATGTCATTTAACCAAGGGCACCCAAACAAACCACTGTAACTAGCTGGTACAGTGCTGGATTTTTTTTTAATTTCCCTTCTCACTTAAACACGTGACATTACAGCAAAATTTGGTGTCAGTATGTTTGTATTTACAACCTTGTTACTCCATACAGTTATCATTTACTGTGATATTTGACTAAATGCTTTTAGCAGCTTAATACAACCCCAATTCCGAAAATGTTGGGATGCTGTGTAAATAAATAAACAAGTGTTAATAAAAAAAGAAGCAATGATTTGCAAATCTCATATTTTACTCACAGTAGAACACAACACATATCAGATGTTGAAAGTGAGACATTTTACCATTCCATGAAAAACATTAACTCATTTACAACTTGATGGCAGTAAAGCATCTTAAAAAAGTTGGCACAGGGTCATGTCTACCATTTTGTAGCATCCCGTCTTCTTTTAACAGCAGTCTGTAAACATCTGGGAAGTGAGGAGACCAATCGCTGGAGTTTTGGGAGAGGAATGTTCTTCTTTTTCGCTTCATGATGTGCCAAATGTTTTCTATTGGTGAATGGTCTGGACTGCAGGCAGGTCAGTTCAGCACCCAGACTCTTCTTCTGCGAAGCCATGCTGTTGTAATGGATGCAGTATGTGGTTTAGCATTGTCTTGCTGAAATATGCAAGGCCTCTCCTGAAAGAGACGTTGTCCGGATGGGAGCATATGTTGTTCTAAAACATCTACATACTGTTCAGCATTGATAGTGGCCTTCCAGATGTGTAAGCTGCCCATGCCATTGGCACTAATGCAACCCCATACCATCAGAGATGCAGGCTTTTGAACTGTGCACTGATAACAAGCTGGATGGTCCCTCTCCTCTTGAGTCCGCAGGACAGTGTCCATGGTTTCCGAAAAGAATTTCAAATTTTGATTCGTCTGACCACAGAACAGTTTTCCATTTTGCCTCAGTCCATTTTAAATGAGCTTTGGCCCAGAGAAGACAGCGGCGTGTTGACATAAGGCTTCTTCTTTGCATGATACAGCTTTAACTTGCATTTGTGGATTGCACGGTAAACTGTGTTCACAGACAATGATTTCTGGAAGTGTTCCTGAGCTCATGCAGTGATTTCCAGTACAGAATTGTGCCTGTTTTTAATGCAGTGCTGCCTGAGGGCCTGAAGACGTACATCCAATATTGACCGTCAGCCTTGTCCCTTGCGTACAGGGATTTTTCCAGATTCTCTGAATCTTTTGATGATATTATGTACTGTACATGGTAGGATATCCAAAGTCTTCACAATTTTATGTTGAGGAACATTTTTCTGAAATTGTTCCACAATTTTTAGACGCAGTTTTTTGCAGATTGGTGAACATCTGCCCATCTTGAGACTCTGCCTCTTTAAAATGCTCTTTTTATACCCAGTCATGTTTTTTAGTTGCAAATTACTCTTCTGGCTGTTTTTTTTTTTATTATTACCACTTACTTTTCCAGCCTTTTGGTGCCTCTGTCCCAACTTTTGAGTTGCGTTGCTGCCATCGACTTCTAAATGAGTTAGTGTGTTTCATGAAATGTAAAATGTCTCACTTTCAACATCTGATATGTGTTCTGTGTTCTGTTGTGATTTTATTTACATTTATTTACATTTTATACAGCGTCCCAACTTTTTTAGAATTGGGGTTGTAGTTAGAACCTTTTAAGCATGCCAGGTATTTCAGTTTAGTCAGACTGTTTAGTTACTTGCTATCATTTTACACAAAATAATTACACAGCACTTTGGAAATTGTTCCACATATATAACTAGTAAATACCTAAAACATGCTGGGCCTTTCCGTGTAATTTAGTTAAACTGTTAAAATGTTAGCCAAAATAATTACCAAGTACATTGGAGTTTGTACCTCACACTTACCCAGTCAATACCGTAGAACCTAGGGGACCGTAAAAGAAAGTGTTGTTAAGAAGGGTATTGTGATGCTTCAATACTGCTTGTTCTGATGTTAACGTTAGGCTACAATTGGCTGCAGATATGATGTGAACTACTTTACTTAATCATGTTATGCTACAAACAATTCTGTGAAATTCTGTTCTATGTTCGTTACAGAATCTGATCAGATTCATCAGATACTGAATATTCACCATTTCTAATGCTAATGTAATGGCTTTATTTGAGATTTTATTTGCTACACGATGACTTTATACTGCATCTACTGAATATTTAAATTAAGCCCTTCTTAGGGGGTTCATCAGGAATAGCTGAAACAGCACCACAGCCTTTGCAGAATTCGTTTTGCCGTTAGAGCAGGCATACGTACTGTACTTTTCAGCTGGTGACTTTGTTGTTGCAGTATTACTGGCCTACTAATTGCAACCACCCCCAAATTGGGCTTCTGTTCAAAAATGACACATTTACTAAGAAATTCCTCCCCTTTAAGATTTCTAGTTTTTCTCGCTTTTCTCTGGAAGTGTTAACATCAAGGAAATCCTGTGCGTGCTCAGCAGTACAGTAGACGTCACAGCGTGTATAAATCTCTATAATCTCCAGAATTCCACTCCACCCTGCTCTAAATCGCATTAATCTGTAGTATTAGAGTTGTTTACCAGCGGTGCTGTGGAATAGCACACTCATAAGCTCTGGCTTGATGTGTCTGGCTCAGCGGTTGCCACGGCGATGCCTCAGTTCTACCAGATGATGCGAGACAGGCTGCGGACGGCAGCGCAAGGAGCGGATACAGTCGTCTGGCTCGCAGTGTCCAAGCCTGCTATGGAAACAGCCAGCGGACTCTTCTTTCAAGGTGTGTATGATACAGTGTGTTCACATCAAACCACCCGGAATGACTCGGCATTTGAATTATTATGCATTTTTAAAATCAGCTCCACTTACTATATAGGTGCACTTGTAGTCCTACAATTACTGACTGTAGTTCATCTGTTTCACTGGATACTTTGCTAGCCCACTTTTACCCTGTTCTTCAGTGGTCAGGACCCCCACAGGAGCACCACAGAACAGGTATTATTTGGGTGGTGGATCATTCTCAGCACCCCAGTGACACTGACTTGGTGGTGGCGTGTCAGTGTGTGTGTTGTGCTGGTACAAGTGGATCAGTTTTTAAACACCTCAGTGTCACTGCTGGACTGAGAAGAGTCCACCAACCAAAAATATCCAGCCAACAGCATCCTGTGACCACGGATGAAGGACTAGTGGATGACCAACACAAACTGTGCAGCAGCAGATGAGCTATTGTCTCTGACTTTACATCTACAAGGTGGACCAACAAGGTAGGTGAGTCTAAAAGAGTGGACAGTGAGTGAACACTGTTTAAAAACTCCAGGAGCACTGCTGTAGTTGTAGAACTACAAAGTGCACCTATATGTAAGTGGAGCTGATAAAATGGACAAAGAATGTAGATACATGGTGGTGTTCCTAATAAAGTGCTCAGTGAGTGCATAGACGTTTGCAAAATGGTTGTTTTTTATGTTAAATTTAGCAAATAAACAGTAAGTGTGCATTAAAATGTGCAGAAGTGTGTTCTCTGTAGAGGATATGTTAACTTATTTTCACTTAGAAAATCAACAGAACATGTAATTTAAGCACCCACTCTTTTGCATACGAGAAAAGCTGAGCACATTTGAACTGTAAACTCCTCAAAATAATAATAATTGTTAATAAACAACACACCAATGCACAGTTTATGCTATTACTATTTTGTATCAGGCCACAAAAATACAGCATATCTCTGAGAGAGACTGTAATAACTAATTAGAAAATATCTTCGTGTTTAAAATCTGAACACACTGCCTGAGTTAAGCATGACTGTATGATATTAATATTATATGATAATAACTGGACACATACAGTACTCCACAAAGGTCACAGACCACCCTTTATCGGTTGAATTTTCATTCAAAATAATTATTAAAGTACTTAGTATATCCACCCTATGCCTTTATTACAGCTCCAGTCTTTTTGAGAGACTTGCTTTCAATTTTTCAAAGAAATCTGCAGGGACTTTCCCACATCTTCAGTGTTCAGTCTTAGAAGTTGGTTGCATTTTCTGCTTCTCACAATCTGAGTAATACCAAACACATTAAATTAATGTTTGTTCTGTGAACACCATCAGCTTCCTTCTTTCACACATTTTCTGTTTTTCTTTGTTTGTTTAACTGCTGTTTATTGGGTGGTGACAGTTTTGATGATCTGCCAGGTCTTGCATGGTGGTTAGGAGTCTCATTTTCTTAATATCAGGGGTTCTCAACTTTATGCAACTCACCGCCCTCATAACCCACACCAAAAGCTTTCATGGTCCACAACAAGAATTATTACTCACTGTAAAAAGCCCTATAAAGATCACTTTGAATTGAACTAAATTGAATGTAGTCTGAATTCCATATGATCAAAAAGAGAAGCGTTTTACACTGAACACTGAAAATATAAACATATCTAGCTAGCTATGTTGGCTACATCAGTCATGCATTATGCCGGAGCTTGATCTAAATATTTAGATATTTAGATTGTAATATTTGTCATGTTTAAAATAGTTAGGTTAAATATCAGTTAAACACATTTAATATAAATGTTATTTAATGTAAGTTATTTATATTAAAGGTGTGTGTATATACACACATATACATATATAGATATATAGATATAGATAGATAGATAGATAGATAGATAGGCTATGGTCACTCAGTTATCCACACTCTGTACAATTGCAGTGGGCAGAACACACAACACATCAAACCTTGAGGCGGATGGCGTACAATAGCAGAATACCTCGTCAAGTTCCACTTCTGTCAGCCAGGAACAGAAAGCTGAGGCTGCAGTGGGAACAATAATAATTTTTTAGTCCAGTTTTGTTTTTTTCCCCCACTTATTTTCCTTTTACTTTCCCCTTCCTCCTGAAAAATGAATAACCTCTACTTAATGGCTATTTTTACAGAAAATAAAAAAAATCAAGGGTGGTCTCTGACTTCTGCACAATACTGGACTACACAGTACAAATTACATTGGTTAGGTTCTTTAATGTAATTTTTACACAGTCTAACCGATCCAAATTCTAACACGACTAACAAGCTAATATCGCCAATTTGCCTGACATCACACTTAGCCATGCTAGCTTTTGCTCATTGTTCTCTGCATTACGTATTTCAGATCGGAGAATTGTTCCGACTCACCTGCCCTTGGCATGGACACACAGCTCTCAGGAGGACGTCCAGGTCTTCATAGGTCAATTGAAGACCCTCGCCCTGGCCGTAAGGCCCAGTGGGTTATCAGCCAATGCCTGAGGTGTGCTCAAAATAGCTGAGATTCATATCCTACTCTGCTGTCACTTATATCCAGGCCTGGAGGACCACAGTATAACACTGATTAGTATTTTCTCTGCACCAACACACTTGGTTTAAGTCATGATGTTACCAAGGTGGCCTCATTAGCTGGTGAGTTCATATGTGTTGGAGAAGGGAAAACACTGAAGTGCATCAGTAGCTTACTCCTACATGTTAGAACCTTCAGAGGTTCTACTTACTTAACAAAACTAATTTACAACACTTTTGATTGTGGTATTATTACTACCATATTAAAACATGAAGATGTCAAGAAAGAAAACTGAAAACAACTTTGATGTTCCAAATGTCCTTAGATGATCTCAGCTGCAAGGTCATAAAACCAGATGTCTGGCCGCAAAACACTGATGTAATTAATGCAAAACAAAAGATACACAGTTGATCGATTAATGCTTGTATGCTGTGGTTGCACTGGCACTCTCTTATAAGGCAGCCAGCACACTGCATGCATATTTAGAATCATTTCAGTGGTTTTGAATGGTGTGATAAATAATGTATAAATCACAGTATTGGTCTCTTCACAATCCACTGTGCATATAAAAGTATATATTATCGTATATTTATGCAAACGTTACTCTAGAAATGTCTACACATATTACAGATATATATAGTGAGAACCTACCTGAGCTGCTGAGGTGGAACGCAGTAAACTTTGGCTGATGTAAAACACTGAAGCTCTCTCTCTGACCACAATTCAAAAGTACCAGCCGTGTAGTCACTTAGTGTTCTCTGAGTGCACCGAAGTGCTAAATAGTGTTGCGTGGTTAGCATCGTGTGATGAACATGCTACTTCTGGGAACCGCCCAGGTCTAAACCTGCACAACATATTGAGAAAAGTAAAAAAAATAAAAAAATAAATAAAATGTCCTTGAAAAAGAAAAGAAAAACACAAAAAACTGAAGTGTTATTTTTTTACCACATGGCTTTAGCTGCCTTGCTGGTCTGTTTTTAAAGCCTAAATGACTAGTTAATTAGCACCCACATAAAATGTTTGCTTGTACAAAATGGTTGTTTTCCAGTCTCATACCCAGCTACAGAAGCCCATTCACACCAAGCAGAGGAGAAAAAAATAGCGTATGATGTTTTTCTCTTCTGTTTCTGGCAGTATATGTCAAAACTTTCACTTATTTCCTCACAAAGTTAACATATTGAAATAATGACCTGTTTTCTCAAAGTGCTGATAATGACTCTGAAATAATTATTTACTTTCTTGAAATTTAATAACTTATTATTTTAACAAAATACTGAAGGAGTCATTATTTTGAGATATTAAAGTTCTATTGAGTTGAATTAGTTCTACCTAGGGAGGTGCTGCTATTGGAGTGATTATTGATGAGATTTAATCCATTATGAATCTGCCATGTCTGTAGCTTTTAGAAGTCTGATAAGTAATAAGTAATAATTCCAGAGTGAATCATCATCATCTATAATTTGCTGAACTCTGAGCTTCCTCAGTAATAGTAGTGCTGTTCAAATTGACATCACAATAATGTAATAACAAAACATCACAGTAATGTAATAATAAAACCGGTTAACAGAAAAACAAAAACGGTGCCTTCTTTTTTTTTGCGACCTGAAGAAAATGCAAACAGCTAAATGGAGCTTGATTTGACCCAATTCCTTAATTCTCAAATTCATGACATGACTACTGAAATCCAAAGCAACTCACGTGAACATTGCCTCCATCATTTGGAATTGTTGATAACGGGCATCGCTGAAACGAGATGTCTTGTCCAGTGTTGCTTTTTTTTTGGTGCCATTTAGCCACACAATGTATTGTTATTCTTCCCAAGTGTGCCGCCTGTTGCATAATGCTGAGGTAAATGTCCACATAATGATGTTTCGATCCAGGCTATTTGAGGTAATTTGGGGAAATAATGATCCTTTATCCTATAGAAAGGAATTTTTGCCAAATTGAAAGCAGTCACTACTGTGGAAAAACATAAATTATAATATACATGATGTTACTTTTCCATAGTGACATGCAGAATACGTGCCAAAATGAAAAACAAAACCTCTATTACATTGTTTTCACATCACTAGATCTCTTTAATGGAAAACAATGCATGAAGATTTGCATGTTTAAAACAAAACGCTGAATTGGTGTCAGAATTGAATACAGTCTGCCTTGAAATGTAAAAAAGGCACAGTTATATTGCTTTCCACTGTGCAGTACTAGATAATAATAGATCTTTTATTTTTCATTTTGGTATGTTTATTGTTTTATGTTACTGTTTAAATGCTAATGCTCGTGTGCATTGCATTTCACTGTTTTGGTTTTATTTTAATGAGGCAAATACATCAGATGTACAAAAAATAAGGACAGTGACCTGAAAACACTGTAGTAGAGGTATTACTGTTCATTTTGGCACATACACTATGTTACCTATGGAAAGGTAGTGTCATGTGCGCACTGCGTTTCACTGTTTTACTCTTATGATTGCATTTCAATGAGGAATCTTCATTTACAGTACTGCACAGTGGAAAGCAATACTGATGTCCTTTAATTACATTTTAAAGTGGATTTCATTCAATTCTGACATGAATTTAGCATTTCGTTTTTAAATGCAATCATTTGTTGTTTTTCAGCAAAGAGGTCAAGCGACGTGAAAACAACGTTATAAAGGTTTTGTTTTTCATTTTTGGCACGTATTCTGCATGTCACTATGCAAAAGAAATATGTATGCATACCTCTCTGTGTTGTCCCATATGAATCAGCTATTTATTATCCATATTATCCCCATATATTATTACCACACCTCCTCCAGTAAAAGTAATCCAGCTTGAATAAGTCACTATTTTGAGATTCTATGTCATTGAGTAAATAAATCAGTATTGAGATTAGGGGTGGGCTATACGGCAAAGACAGTTATGATACACAATGTCTATCATGATATTTTGACACAGAGATGATGCACTAGTAGTACACCATTTACAAACAGCCAATGATCTTTATTATTTTTCTCATTCTGTATAGCTCTAAAACCTAAAACAGGACTAACTATGATCTCTTTGTAATAAAACATGCAGTTGGTCTGTGTTCTTTAAGTACTGACTATATCCATGTTATGCTCAGAAAAGCATACTGTGTATCAAGATAATAAAACTTATCACAACAATAAAATATCATATTGCCCATCCCTGATTGCGATACTAAATCAATGTATTTTAGAAAAGAAAAATTTTTGAAATATTAAGTGAATTTTTTGAAAAATTTCAAGAGACCAAATCAATAATTTGACATACTGCTGGCAGAAACAGAGAAGAAAACAAAACAACAAACCAACCAATGAACAAACAAAAAAAAACTTTTTTTCAGGTACTTTGGCCTATTGTTTTTCACTGTTTTAATAAATTTGACGGTTTTGGAGAACCTGACCTTTGTTTACTTTACCTGAAGTATTTGGACTAACCCATTCTGCTCATTACCTTCAGAACTAATTTACTTTTATGCTGTAAAATGAATCTACATTAAGTCTACATTGAAATAAAAGAAATCTTAAATCAACAGTTCCGTGTGTGTTTTTGTGCTGGCCTTTTTGCACGAGTCTCCTAGGAGGTGTAGGGAGATAAAAACTAAATGTTTTAATCTGTGCTTGGGTGTGGTTTTCTTCTCAGTGTGTCTCCTTGCTCCAGTACAATTACAATAATCCTTTTGAAATAGCAGCTTTATGAGAATGAGCCTTTGAGACTGTGTAAATCTGACAGTCATAAGGTTATCAAACAAATGTTATTGCAAAGCACAAACTCATATGGCAGCATATTCCAGATATTTTCAGATTCAAATGCAAATTTGAAAATGCCAATTCAATTGTGTATTTACAATTGCATTTCCCATATGAGTGCGCATTATTTAAGATATAATTCAAATTTAAAAGCAAAATATGGATTAGCATTTGCATTTCTGTGTATAATGGCTGGGAAAAAAGTTAATATGGAGAAGCAAAGTGCTTTTATTTTCATTGTCTTAATGGTTTGACTGACATATTAAAAACAGAATAACAAGCCCTGATTTGCAATTACATTTCCTCATCGTGACGCTTCAGCTCTGCCAAAATGAAAATGCATTTTCAGCATCAACGAGGCTTCCTGTTGATCAAACACTGTGGGTGGGACGTCAGGAGAGACTTTAGTGCGGGTGTGTTTTAAGTTACGAAAAAGTCTAAACTTTGGCAGTACTGTAGCATTAGCAATCACAGCTAGCAATATTTTAACACTTGCTAACCAGGCCGAGGATAATCCTTTCCAAAGTGATTTTCGTGTGGAAGTGATTCTTGACTGACTAGGAGAGCTCATGGCTGCATATGCCCCAATTTTAGTGACACTGAGACTGGCTTTGGGTAGAGGCTCACAGGACTGTTGGAGGACCTGGACAGCCAATGAAGGATATTCCTATTAAGGTGGCCACTGTTGGTTAGCCAACCCTGGTCCTGGAGTAACCTTACAAAAAGCTGATTTTGGGAAACCAGGCTCAGCTCGTTAACAACCACTGACTATTTGTAATGGCTGTGTTAAAGCAGTGAAAGCACTAAAACTGTTTCTCAGACAGTCCTGTGAGTCTCTGGTCACAGTGTCACTAACAACACTGGTGTTTGTGCAGCCACAAGTTCTCTTAATCAGTAAAGAATCACTTCCACACAGAACAGCTCATTAACAACTGCTGATTATTTTTAACAGGTATGTTAAAGCAAGGAACTACAATGTGCAGGGTAGCAATAATCCAGGAAAAGTGTTCCTCCGACAGAATAATCCTCGGCCTGGTTGGCGAGCGTTAAAATGTCACAGTGATTGCTAATGCTCAGTACCGCACAAACACTGAGGTCCTGCCCACAGTGTTTGATTGACAGGAAGCATTGTTGACAAACAGGATTGCAATTGCATTTTTATTTTGGCAGAGCGACAATGAGGAAACGCAGTTGCAAATAGGCAACTGTTATTCTGTTCTTAATAAGTCAGACCATTAAGACAATGAAAATGAAATGTCAAAAGCAGTTTGCTTTTCCATATTAACTTTTCCCAGCCATTATACTCAGAAATGCCACTGTAAATACACAACTGAATTAGCATTTTCAAATTTGCATTTGAATTTGAAAAGAGTGAAATAACTTAAAATTTATGTATAACGACTATTGATCTAGTCGGGATAGTTCACAGTGGTGGCGAAAGAAACTAGATTTCTGAAGAGTTTAATGCGCCTAAAAGCTCCCTCAGTAAGTTATTACAAGAAATGATTACAAATAAGTTGCCAGATGCCTGAGATATTGTTAGGTTTTACAGCCTAAAATATATTTTTGAAATATGTTTATGGTGGAGAGGTACATGCAGGGCAATAGTTCCCTGAGAAAACTTTTCAGATTTACCACTGTGTTACCATTATAACTGTTAGATATAAAAGCCTAGAAGACACGTGTAGGTTCACTTGTCATTTTTATAGTAAACAAAATCACTATATTAGGGTTGTAGATGTAGCGACTCCTGGTTTTCTATGACTGTAAAGAATTCTGAGTCAGCAAGTTTCTCCACAACAAACCATTTCACATTAAACTACTAATGACTTTGTTTACATCTGAACCATGGAATTATGCAAATTTAGATATTTCCCCAAAAAGCCAAGGGCCACTTGGAATTGGTCCTTGTCTACTACTGTAAAGTAACTAAGTTTGGAATCTATTTGTAGGGTTTACTGGTGCTGACTTTAGGTTAGACGCGGATGCTGCTTTAACACTGAATGATGGCTCATGCACAGTGGGGAAACAAAAAAAAAAATATATATATATATATACAAAAACCACATGAATTCTGATTTGAGCGTTCTCATGAAAGTTGCATGGCCACAAATCAGATATGTATCCAATCTAAGACCACGTCTGAAAGTGGCAAATCAGATGTGTCTCATAATTTATTAAAAAATAGATTTGTGCCACTTCAGCCTCATAATGAACGTAGCCAAACCACATTTGGAGGTGGTCAGAGACGGATCTTGACCACATTTAACCCCAGTATAAATGCAATGTGTTGTTATCTGAATACAGCTAAAAAAGTGGAAAAGTATCTGCCGAATGCTGACTAGCAGGTTACAGGACAAACAATAAACGAAACACAGAGGACACGCATGGCAGTGGTTGCCCAAACTAAGAAGCCTTCTGACTCTGGGCCGATGAAAGTGTCCAAGCCGAGCTTGTTGACTTGTATCATAACACAGGAACACGCAAACAAACATTAAACGGAAACGATGCATCTGTTAATGTACTTTTTACATGGGGAAGTAAAATCTGACCTCATCTAATCACCCTGGGGACACATTTTATTGCAAAGTGTACGGCATCCAGTCAAAGTATATCCAGATATGTTCCGGACATCCACTATGTTAACGCAAGGTGAAGACAGGCTACAAGTTTAACCAAGTACATTTGAGTTGCAGTAATGTACTCTGACCCTAATGTATTATATGGGAAAAGCCTTCATATTAGTTGTGGATAACAGTCCCTTACACACAGCCGTTGTTAATTCTTTTCAAACTTCTAATTTAACAAACCTGATCCAGTTCATCAAACTGTACACCTCATTCAGCTCGTTTGGGAGCTTCTGAATGTGAGAATCAGATGGTTAGAGCCACAATAAAACTGCAGGGGAATCACTGGGAATAAAACTAATAAAGAGTCAGTTAGACACTATTGCTGAAGACATTTTGTCAAATCCTTTTGTCTGTTAAATATATTCCTGTCTGTTATCTCTTGGAAATTTAAAACTTCTTTAATTTTATTTCATCCTAACTTTTGGCCTTTCATTAAATCAGTAATAAATGCAGTCTTTGAAATAAAGGCGGTAGATTCTGGTTGCTGGAGTGGTAGACAAGAGCGAGCATTTCACTGCTTCTAAAATAATCAAATCTTGTCTGCATTTGAAACCTATGCTTTAAACCAGCCTGCGCTCCGTCACACTCAATTCCTTCAAATAAGCAACAGTGTTGTCAGCTCAGTTATTACGCATTTCATTTCAATAAATGGTTCAGAGCACTTCCAGCTTCCTAGACAGTGCATATCTAGATCTGTTTAATAAACCAAAAATGAAATTACGATGACGTCTCAAGCCTTTGCGCTGTCAGGAGACCACGAGTTACCACGGAAACCTTCATTACATGGCTGAGAACGTGGCAAGGGTTTCAATATCAACATTTTTATTTGTTTTTTTTCTTCAGCAATCCACGTTTTGCTGTTTTTTGATGTTTTTAATAATTCATTTTCTTATTTTTACACAGTATTGAAAAAAAAAAAAATGTGTGGTGCATTCACATTTTCCCAAGGGATTATTTTCTCTTGAGGGTCGATCTCTAGAAGGATAAACCAGTGAAGAGCTTGAAGCCGGATCTGTCCATGGCTGAGATTCGTACAGGAGTGGGAAGTGGTGGCCTAATTAAAACAATCTACAACACTTAATGAATGTTCTTTTTAATTCTGTTTGCTGTTTATTTCTGATACTTTGTGTTATTTGTTTGCTTTGTTGTTTTTGTTCTGGAGGAAAAAAAGTCTGCTTTCCAGATTTCACCTTTTAAAACGTCCAGTCCATGCGAACAACAGTCTTTATTCTCCTTTTGTTTTCACTCTCTCCTCCTCTTGTTGCAGATCTTTGTCTATGCAACGTAAGTGTAGACTTTGCGATCTTCTGGCGTTCGTGCCAGATATTCTCTCTCTATAAGTCCTTCAATGCGCTTTTTGATCACCACGGGGCTGGGCAGGAACCGCGCCCTCAGCTGCTGGGTTACCTGATGGAAGAAACAACGAATCAGACGACTGGAAATGTACAGTGAAATGAACAATATGAAAAAAAATGAAAAATACAATGAAAATTCCTAACCGAAACCAAAATTCAGGGCGTACTCGGCCAAAAGCTGGAAAAACATATATATGCAAACTGCTGTTTTATTTATGCTTTTGATTTAACATAATAATGCTGGTGATGCTTCAAAAGCAGAGATCTCCATTGCTGGCAGAGAACTAGAAGACTAAATTTTAAACAGCTGACTAAATAATATGAAATATTAAAAGTTGTAAAATTATGAAAATATAATACTTTATAGCTGCCAAAAGTCCACTATAATGACCAAGAACACCTACCTCATTTACATAATGTGTAAAGCATGTGAATGTGGTATTGGACTCCCGTCTAGCAGTTTGACGTTTCTACAGCAGCGGGGTGCTAATAACATCAGCATGTCTGTGCATTTTTAATCACGGTTTCTCATTTTAATTCAGATTGCTGAGTTTGACCATTCATTGTAGACTACTTATGCTTTTTCAGCTTTTTTCCCCTCTTTCTCAGAGGCTGAAATTTTGTTGCCTCCCTAGAAATATACCCTCCTGTTCAAAAGTTTTGAATCACCTATACAATGTGAATTTAAATATTACAAACTGAATTCATTAACAGGATTTTTAGTTTTATTCAATTTTTCAAGAATTCTGTGAAGTTATTAAAGGATATACTGTAATTATCTGTTTACATTGTTTTGTCAAGTTACTAGCAATAAGATTTTGATCTCCACTTTCAAATTGACAAATTCTGAATGGTATTAATTAAACAAACTCAATATTAAAATATAACTCCTAAGGTTATACAGCTTTCTCAGTCATTTTAGAATCTTCTCCAGCTCTGTTCATCATTCTGGACACATCTAACATTTCATTTTTATTTACAGCGTCCTACTGTCCTACTAATTATTTGGCACCTGTGAAGTTGTTCAGGGCTAACAAGTTATTTTTTTTCAATTGTCTATGACCAAATTGCCTTAATATTTTTGAAAACATTTTCATTTTTGATTCAAACATCTGAATCATACAGTATAGCATGGAAGAATCCACAAACACTAAATGTATGTGCTGAGGGATAATAGAATTTGAAAAGTACAGAACAATCAATTGCCATCGTCCACTACGATCATATCAACACTGTGAGAACTCACCTCTGCTACAAGTACATTGTGCTGCATCTTCTTCCTAGATTTCATGATGCGTACGATGGCAGCCTCGATTTCATGTTTTCGGTCATCATCCACTTTTTGCCTTGTCTCTTTCCTCTCTGGGTCTGACTCCCCCTGCTTAGCAGCAACTAGATACAACAAAATACACAACATAATAAGGTTATTACCTGTGTGCTTAAATAAATGCATACAGCATGGCCTCACAATTAAAACCAAAGTCAAACGGCAGTATCTGAGTATGCATGACATTCACTGTCTTCAACCTGTATGTATTTACAGTACTGGGCAAAGGTCTTCGGCTCCTGAGAGGAGTCAATTCAAAAAAAGCTATTTATCTGGGCTGCAAATGTTCTTTGCTCAGGAAACTACCAAGAATAAACATAAATAACAGTAATGCAAAAAGCTATGTCAGTGTTTTCATTTAATCATTTCCAAATGTCTGTTTGAGGGAGCCCAGCATTATCTGTAGTTATCATCCAATACCTGGTTTGACTGATCCAGCCCAAGTGCCATGTCTCTATGTGATAGCTAGCAAAATGAATGTCCAAGACACGGTCCTACTTCTTTAGGTGAAAATAATGACCAGGGGCAGAAGAGCAGGGGGCAAATGGAGGCCTTGGACTAAAACAGTTTAAGAACTGCTAGGCTAATAAATTCTAAGCAAATCAATCTGCCAGCCAAATCAATCAGGAATCTGTTTAATCAATCACTGTCTGTTCACTGTTGTTGAAAATAATTTCGTGTTTTTTTCCCCAAGATCTGTTTCCCCTGTACACCTTTCTCTCTTGGACACACTCACTAGAAGGTATTTTAATGCACCCTCATTTCAGTTTATACAAAATGAACTTAAAAATATGTTAAAATAAAACATTTCTATAGCTACTTACTTTAATATGGTGCAGACAGTGGCCAGCAACCCAGTTTTCAAGGAACTACCGATGATCTACATTTTTGTTCTCCTGCACCTGAGCTATTAAACTGCTGATCAAGTGCTGAGTAGCTGGCTCAGATGTACTGGGAGCTAAAATAGAACTAAAATGAGGACTTGCCTGAGGGCCTCCAGGGCTGAGCTCACAATGACTAAAACAAGGCAGTCAGTGATTTGAAGAAAAATCTGACACTGTGTTTCTATGCCTTTCTGGTACATCTCCAGCACCCCCTCTCCCCCAGCAAGGGTAGTGACAGTACCTGTCTGGATTTTGACTCTGTGCAGTTTGGAGGTAAACTGGTCGTTGACTGTAAACATGTGTCCGTTCTCGATCTCTTTACTCTTGGGCTCCTTGGTGAGCACTCTTTGTGTGGGCTTCCCGCACGCCAGAGACTGCAGCGCCCGCACCAGCTCCCGCTCCGGGATATCTGTCTCCTGCTGGATCTCCTACAAGTCAAAATGTCAAGATCATCAGCGGTCAGGCACTGGAGAAAGTGATTTAATACCATGTTTATTACCACACTGGAACTGGGAACTTTTAAAATAAATATACCACTAACCAAACAACTATTTAATTCAAATGTAAATGCCGACCTCAAACAGCTGATTATCTTTCATCCCTAGTTTTTCTAGTTTCTAGTGTTTAAAGAAAGCTAAAGTGGTCATACCTCAAAGGTGCACTTCTCTCTGTTGTTGAAGAGCATGAGTATGGTCATCTGGAAGGTGGACACTTGTAGTATGTGCTTCCTTGTGTTAGAACCTGTTACTTGTGCCCCGCCTACACCCAACTCAGACCCATCCTCCTACAGAGAGAGACAGCATGGATTTAAAGATGTAAAAGGTATAAGGCACAATGGTGTCATTACAATGAACTGGTTGTTTATTCTGTTTTCAGAAAGATTTGAGGAACAGACACGGAAACATGGACACATGAAAACCTTCATTATGAACAGCGAATTTAGTGCATCTAACAATTTTAACCAAATTTTTAATGATACTGTAATATTTAGAATATAAAAATCCTATCCTACGCACTTACATTCAGAATGTAGATGTACGTATATGTGAGAGTAATTCTGATGTATCTCTACCTTTTTAATAGGTCCATAGAAGGTGGCATTGAGGTCTGCTGAGCCCATGTGGTGCTGCAATGTGAGCTGCCTGCCACTGTGCTTGGCCAAGTAAAACCTGCATGTAATTCACAAAGGTCATACACAAGCTTTGATGCTTGCACACCCACATTCTTCAATCAAAACAGCACTGTGTGGCCTGCTCTAGCATACCTGATTCAGTTAACAAACAGCTTGATAATTCAAAGGAAACTACAGCCAAAATGAAAAACGTAACACAAATGCCACAAAAGTCTGACTGTTCAAACAGCAAGTATTCTGTCTGCCAAAAAGAAAATATACTCTACCTTCTGAAAACCTCAAAGGCGTGCCGTGGGGAAGGGGGGATGTTGCATTTCGGCGTGGCCGACTGTGTAGGCCAATAACCTGTAGTCAAAACTCTGACTGTTAGATCAACGCCACCTAGAGATACCTGATACAAGAGACAACACACACAGACATGCAGCAGAATTAGAGCTCAAATACAGAGGGAAAGCAACATACTGCAGTGGCCATCAACTTATCTATGTTCTTGCCAAGTTCAGTTCCAACTTGCATTAAACATGCTACTCTCCCTTTATCTAACACTAATGCTTCTGATACAGCCAATCAAAAACTTCCGAAGTAAAGCTTCCTTAATAAGCTAGAGCAGGTATGGCAAACTGTGTTAAAACTAGACTCCACAGAAATGTAGATCTCCAGGACTGGGTTTGGTGACCACTGACATACAAGTAAGGTGAATTTCATGAGCATGCAACTGTAACCAGTGTGCACTTCCACTGCTCTGCAGACCAGAGCTATTTAAAAAAAAAAAAAGTTTGCCCTTAAAGCAACCGTTTAGAAATAAGCCTTCTATGAGACTTTGGAGTATGTGTGTTTGGAATTTTACCCATCCATCCAAAAGAGCATTTGTGAGGTCAGACACTGATGTTGCCTGGCTCACAATCTGTTGTATTTCATCCCAAAGCTGTTGGATGGACTCTCAAGTTCTTCCACACCAAACTCACCCAACCATGCCTTTATGGACCTTGCTTTGTGCACTGGGGTAGAGTCATGCTGGAATGGGAAAGGGCCTTCCCCAAACTGTTCCAACAAAGTTGGAAGCACAGAATTGTGCAAAATACTACTGCCAGTGTTTGTCTATTAATATTGCAAGGCTATGTGCTTAACTTTAACCACCTGTTAGCAATAGGTGTGGCTCAATACTTTTGTCTATATAGTGTACTCAACAAGCAAAGACAATGGTATCTGTAGTTTAATTCTTTATGGAATTTTTTTCTTCTTGGACCTATGAGGCTAATGTAGCTCATCACTTGAGATGGATGTTAACACTAGGTGTAAACAGGACTTCAGTTTTGGCACCTGTAAGCCCCTTCAATGTGTGTCCTAATTTCTCAGCCGGCTGAAAATGCACTCTTTTCCATCAGTGACCTGATCTGATGGGTTGTGGTGTGTCTTACCCCTGTGGACTGCAGGTGCTGGCGGAACTCGTCCATTGTTGTGTTGGAGATGCTCATGTCCCTGAACATGCCTTCCAGTTTAGAGGTAAACTGACAACCGCACTCCGTCTGCAACACAGTGACAACACAGAGGCGTTAGAACATGTTTGTGGTGATGTCACTACAATTTTCAATTGTTTCAGCTCTTCAGTACAGAAACCAACAACAGTAATGAAGTTCATGAAGCACCTTTCATCCGTTTCATTTGCAGCCCAGAGTGCTGTATAAGTTCCAAAAAAAAGGACAAATTTAAAACCTACACCCATAAAATCAGTTATACTGGGGAACGAGCAAGACCAAAAAGGATCAACTGTCTACTGAAATGTTAGTTTGTAGAAATGTGTCAAGCTCAGATAAGTGAGTCTGAGAAAAAAAAACAGCAGCAGAATGAGGAAAGAGGACAGTGAGAGCAGTGTTTCTGCCATGGCCAATGTGTACCAAACAGCTAGCCAGTTATAGAAGCTATGAAACAAAAGATTTACTGGCAACAGTCTACAGACTTTGAGTACAGTCGTATGTAAGTTTGCACACCACTGGTCAAATTATATGTTTTATTTGTTTTCTAAATGAAAATAAGTAAAATATGTGGTTATTTTCGCTTAGAAGCTCAACAAAACATGTACTTTGCCCAAACATTTGCCCATCCATTCAGCTGGCCAACAACGGACAATTGTGATAACCTGTGTTGACGAAAGCATAACAGGGCAAACCTCAGACAATTGTGCTACTGGGGAACCTAATGTGAGACACTGCCTAATGTGTTTTGAACATAAAACTTCATCATGGCTAGAGAGGCAAAAATATTTAGAATGTATCCAAACCTCACCATTAGCATGAGAATAACTTTAAAACCAAAAAAAAAACAACTTCAATAAAGCTCTGTAATATATAAATTGATATTGGACACAAATTTTTCATATCTGTTGGACCTTCATAGCAATGCATAAGAACACATAGACTGATGCACAGATAAATAGACAGGTTGAGAGACAGATATCAATATAAGTGCTCAAAGTAACAATGCAAAATTGCTATTCAACAGAAATTAGTGCCTCGTACCTTGAGCTTGGAGATCATGTTTTTCTCTGAATCGTCTGAGACGCTCTTGTTGGTAAGCAGTCTCCTTGCTAGATGCTGTTTGTAGTAGCGCTCAAACACATCCTTCTCCTGCATGAACCGGAACAGCACCATCGCCTTATCCAGGATGGACTCTACCTCTTGCTCTGTCAGCTACAACAACACACACAAATAAACAATTCAGGATTTTTTTTTTTTGGATGAATATTAGGCAAAAAACAGCTGATGTATTTTGGCATGAATGGTATTTCACGTATTAACTATACCCTCAACACTACATAAGTAAGGGTCTCATTTTCTGTAGTTAGTCAACCCTTAATGAGCTAACCAACTAAACTGCAAGACTCTAGACTTCCAGACCCATCATAAATGTCATCTAGGCAACAATAAACGCTACGGATTTGAGGTAACAGTCATACTCCTTTGACTCCTTTCTTCAGCTTGTCGTCAATAAACAGCGAGAGGTACTCGGGCGATCGTGAGTTGAGGTTGAGGAAATACTCAAAGTCTCCAGCAATGGTCTGCTTGAAGAGCCGGTCGTTGCTGAATGACTCCTGGAGGAAGCGGTCGAAGCGAGTCTTCAAGTCCAGGAGACCCTGCATGACAAAAGAGACAGTGACGTGCGTTGCCACGTGATGCATCTGTTCATGGTGTCATGGCAATGATGGCACTTGGGTTAAAACAGAATTTATGGAGGAAGTTCAATGACTAAACAAACTATTATTATTATTAACTCTAAATTTTACTTTTATTTTACTTATGCACAATTGTTACACATATTAGGTCGATCATCAAAATGGAAGAAAGTAAAGCTACTTCTACTACAGTATCACAGGACCACATGTGATCTTGTAATGACAGCAAGTTTAAAACGTTTAAACCAGCCCAATGCATCATGAAGGTGGAATTCAAAGTAGGGGATGATGGTGCGCTTCTCAACACTGCCCACTGATCAACAAGCCTGTAGTTTGCTCATGGATGAATGGTAAGCTAGCATGGCTGAACAGGTCCCCCAAAAAATCCAATTAAGTTTGCAGATGTGTGTTGTGTGTGCAGGAAAACACATAACATGCAATAAAATGAAACATCTTAAATTAACCCTCAGCTAACAATTATGTTAGCTAACAATAGTGATTTGCTAGCTAAGTTGTTTTGCTAGTGTTATCATTCCGGATACTGGAGTACAGACTGAAGGAATTTCCGAACCAGCACTAAAAGTTTAACAAGTTGTCCCCAGACGTGTATTATTGTTAAAAGATCATGTCTGGTCCCACAAGACGACGACTACTACTACTACTACTACTACTACTACTACTACTACTGCAAATACTGCACCAGCTACTACTACTCCTGCTGCTACTTCACTAACTACTACTATTAATACTACGACCACAATAAAAATCCTTTTGTCAGCTTAACTCTTAGACCTGCTAGATCCACCTCTGTACACTGGTTAGTAGGAGTTTCTTACCTGTATGTAGTCGACAGGGTTCTTGCCCTCTCCCTCCTCAGACACCAGTGCTTTGCCCTGCTCTCTCAGATACAGACTCATACATTCACACATCGTTTTCAGACCGTTTGGCACCCTGCTGAACAGCTTATACATACACGCCAGATCTGTGCGAGAAAGAGAGAGGGAGACAGGGAGAGAGAGTGACAGAGAGAGAGGGAGCAAGAAAAAGACAGGTCAAAGAAAGAAGTAGCCAAGAAAGAAAGAAATGAAGTGTTAGCGAAAGGGGAGGGAGACCAAAAGAAAGAAAAAGAGAGAGTGTGAGAGACAAAGAAAGGAAGAAAGAAAACCGGTTGAGTAAATTTCCCCAAACACAATGAATTAGTTCTTTGTGAATCAGAGGTACAAAAAAGTAGAAGACAGTTAGCATGACCCCATGTACCCCATGTGCTGACTGCCCCCAGACCGCAGTCGTTATTAGCATTTCTGTGGAGGAGTTTTGTTTAAAGATATGTGGATGGAAAGAGCCCCACAGTTCCCTCACCCTCAGTCTTTCCGTTCTTAAGCATGTGGACCAGGCCCGAGTTCTCCATCTCTACAATGGTCTTCATGTGCTTGGATATGAGCTCCCGCTCCACCACCTTCACGATAGGCTCCTCCGTTGACTTATCGAGACAGTGCATCACTCTCTCAATCTCCTCGTTTATCCGAGCCTCCACCTTCTTTATGTATACGCTGGCACTGTTTTCTGCCAAAAACTTCTGACTCTCCATCTGCACACGACAGAGGATAAATGTAACTTTTAACTGTGATTGTACTACTGAGAGTGTGAAACACTTATTTTTAATTATGTAATAGTTTCTTTAACATTTTTAAAATATTAGACACAAAAGACGTTAAAATGATTACTATGAATGAATAGCATTTTTACGCTGAGGCATTCCTTTCAGTGTTTTACAAGCTGTAATTTGCAGAATATTAGTGTAACAGCTCAAATCTCTTATTTCTTCACACAACAGGTCAGGAAACTGTGCATGTATATGTATTGGTTATATATCCCGTTTTAGAAGAACACCTGTAAAATGTGTGTTTAAACTGGTTTGGAACTCCGTAATTCCGTAATTCCCATGTGATGTCACTAACCTGAAAGAACTCCGCAGACATTTCTAAGAAAGGGGCTTCAAAGTCCTCCTCATACACAGACCGTCCTTCCAGTCCCAGAATCATCAGCATTTGACACGCATTTCTAATTGCTCCTCTAAGAGACAGAAAGAGAAATATAAAAAAGAGGATCAATGTTTTTAGGCTGCTACAAAAAGCACTATACACCAAAGCAGCTAGGCAGAACTTTAATTATTCTCTTATTTGGACTGCAGCTGGAGTTTAGACTGGAGATTGTCGCCTCAAATTCGCACAGACTGAGACAGAAGTTTGTGCCAAATTGCAATCTTCAATGAGTCTGCTGCGAAGTCTGCTGGCTTTTTAAAAATACTTTTTTTCTTTTCTAATATTTGAATTATTGCATTTCTCGAACATTACTTGTAATTGTTGCCCTAGATTTTACTGAACAATTTCAATGTTGTAAGGAAACAAAACAAGGCTTTGATAGGACAGCGATCATATGCTAATTTTTTTAATTTCTCACTAGGAGCTGAGCCAGCAAAATTTTCACTATGCTTTTATTCCACTTATGCCAGTCTACAGCCTCTCTGAAGCGCATTCCTGAAAAAAAGCACCACTGGGATAGATCCATGTCGTGTGATCTGTCAGCAGTAGATAAAGGACCACATGCTTGTTTGAGATAACAGAAGAAATTCCTCAGGGCCAACAATCTCAACAGCAGCACTCACAGATCACAGATGGATCTGACTGAAATGCTCTCAGGAAATGGCTACTGACAAGACAAGTCATTCATTCAACAATTCTGAGAGTGTATATATACACATATACACATATATATACATATACACACATATATACATATACACACATACATACATATACATATACACATACATATATATACATATACACATATATATATATATATATATATATATATATATATATATATATATACACACACACACACACACACACACACTTATATAATTATATACATATATAATGCTCTCAGCAGAAAATGGTGCTCTTGTCTTAAAATAACACTCAGAGAGAGATGGCCAGTAAACACTTTTTTTTCCAATGTCCACTTGTGCAACCATTGTAAATCGTCCACAGTTGCAGCTATATTGGTCACTAATTAAAAAAAATGCAAGCAAATGGTTTAACAGACCGGCTCCAGCAGAGGTCCCCAGTCCCAGTCACACTCTGCACACTGTTGAGCCTTCTCTCATCTAGCAAACCTGATTCAGTCATGTACTAATTAACAAGTTCCTTGTGTGCCAAGTCAGGTGTATCAATGTATGAAAAACACAAAATTGCGCAGAGCATGGGGTCCCCAGGACAGACATATATACACACACACACACACACACACACACACACACACACACACACACACACACACAATTTAATTCTAAATTAATGTTCTCAACTGTGTCAGAACGCTAATTAACTGAAACTGGCATCCCCCAGGCAACATAGGGGCAGTGATGAGCAACAGTGCCAATCGGTGTGGTTATGGCCATGATGTTTGAGCCTCCCTTGCAAAAAAACAAACCACTTCGCTCTGGGTGGCCACCCTCTGGATGGTGAGTAAGAAGTGCAAAACAGAGAACAAGCACTCTAATGGTCATTTTAGAGATCTAATTACAATTTGCAGCTAATGTTGGAGAGCTCAGGCTTTCATCTCAAGACAACTAATGTTAGATCAAAGACATATCGCGTCTGATCATTGACATTCCTAATCAAAAGACAGTAATACAAAAGTACTATCATACACATTTAGCGCACACTCACCTGTCTACCACCTCACCCTTCCTTTCCCTGGCAATCATGTCCAGCAGAGTCTGACGGAGGTGGTCTCGAATGCAGCCGTACCGGACCACCTGGTCTCTGAAGATGATCAGGCCCAAGTTATACACATTCTCTACATTATTCTGCTGCACATACACACGGTCCTACAGAGAGAGAGAGAGAGAGAGAGAGAGAGAGAGAGAGAGAGAGAGAGAGAGAGAGAGAGAGAGAGAGAGAGAGAGAGAGAGAGAGAGAGAGAGAGAGAGAGAGAGAGATCTTATACTCTGTAATGTTCTACATGTTCATTTTGTCTTGCTCCTCCTTGATGATGCTTTGGCAAAACTGTAACTGACCATGGCGATGTCAATAAAGCTTATTATGTTGAAAAAAAAATTGAGAGACAGAGAGAGCGATACAGAAAGAGAGCAAGAGAGAGACAAGAAGAGAGAGAGAGTGAAATTGCCTATTATAATTTAGTTTTATACAAGTTTCTTAAAACAGAATTAACAGTTACAAACACAACACAAAGCACAGTATTTTATAAAGACTGCATCTTCTCTGCGTAGTTCAGGAATGCCTTCAAAATGCTGTCCATCAAAATCTGTGTAATCAGAAATGTGCAGCAGTTTCTGTTGGACTGTATTCACACTTCAGTGAATTTTCGTTTCCTGTGTGATTATTTTTTTTAAGATGCTCACAGCAAAGCAGAGTGTTAAAGGTAACTGCAACAAACCATCTTTGTGAAACAAATCATGCCGTTTACATTTTATAGCAAATACTGACTTCATTACAGCCACCAGTATACAGTATATGATCGCTATTCAGCGACTGGTAGCTCTTAAAAATGTCAGCAATCAGAATAGAAGAACAGTTGTTTAAATGAATTTGGTGCTGAATGATTTCAAACTGTGCTGTGAGATGATTACACTGCTTGTCTGTTTTAACATCCATATTTAACATACTTCTAGTTCAGTATGTTTGGCATCAAGTGTGAAAGCTATTCCAACAATATCTTAATCCATGATGCAGAGTTTCCGCTAGAAAATTCTAATGCCAAACGTGGCGTCCAGGAATGGTTCATTTTGCCAGACAAAATTCTGGTCACACATGATCGTCTTCAACAACCTAAAATAAAAACTCATTGCTAACGAGTTTTATCCGTTTTATCCTAAAACCTTCCTTTTCTCCTCAAGCACTCCAGAAAGCCAGTATTAAACAGAGTGCTGAGGCTCAAACTGCAAAGCTACAGTCATTCATCAGGCTGCATTTCTATGTTGGATCACAGTGGATAACAAAATATCTTTGTTCACTGTTAGGTTAGCATAAGCATGTGTTACACCTTGCAAACAATCAAAGGTTTTGCTGACAACATTTTAGCCAAGCGATTAAATGAATGAATGAGGGAGCACAAGCTAACTTGCTGTCTATCAGCCCAGCCAAAGTATTGGCTACATTTAAACAATGACATTCGTTTTTTCAGTAGATTTCTACGTTCTTGTCAAAAGAGGTGCATTTTTGAGTTGTGGCAATGTAGCGCTAGGATGCAGAAGATGTTAAACAGACCAAGCATGAGCCTTATTTGCATTAAATGTTTCAGTGTCTAGGCTGCTAACAGATTTTGAGCACAGCAGCTCTGTCTCTGTTAAATGGTGGCTGTCAAGGGTGCGTCTCTTCCCAATATGCAGGACAGCAGGGGGCCAATTTAACTGGATGTTATGTCTGGCTGGATTTTATTTTAATATTGATTTCAATTAATTTAGCCAGTGTTGCAGAGTTTTTACCTGTCAAATACCATTTTTATTGGCTAATGGAAATCCTGGTTAAAAGATATTGGCCTGTGGCTGATAACTCATCTACACGTTGCTGTGTGGATTATTCAAACTAGGCACAAGTGGACGCTGAAGATTAGAAACCAATGCCAGGGCAAAGACGAGGAAGGCTATGAACTGCAGGGCACTTTCTAAGACGAAGAAAACAAGCAGAAGGAGAAAAGCAGTGCTCTCTTAGTACGTCCACAAAAACAAAGCATAAATTTGAGCCGACAGGCACATTTCCTATTAGAGCCCTGTTGGCCACTTACATTATGTGATATTGATGACTCAATTTTATTCATATCAGTGAGGATATCGCTGATAAATTGTGACCTTTTTTGGGTCTCAATATCACCATAATTTGACCCTGCAAACTCCTGTGAGTAACATGACAGCAAAACAGGATAAACTGGGGAATCTGAACACAAAAAACGATCATGGTTAAACGAATGGCTCAGCCAGCGACAGAGCCAAAATTGCTAGCAAACACTAGAACCCAATAGTCACCCAAACAGCCCAAAATGCTTTTACAAAAATAAATCACTAAAACATCTTTCAGCCTGGGTCACACAGACCTCCTGGTACGGTTTAAGACATAGTATGACTTAATGTGAACTATAAAAATGAGGGGAAAAAAAATGAGCAGCCACTTTAAACAACAGGGTGTGTACTCACACAGCACCTCAGCAGAGGGAGAACTGATCCAGAATCAGTATTTGTGACAGTGACCATCATAAATAAATAGAAATTTGATCCAAAATCAGTCCTGCTTTGTGGAAATGGATACTCATAGTGGTGAAGTTTTGTTCTTTTTTGTAGTCATACTGAACTCTAAACCACAAGTCCGTGCAACTTTAATGAAGACCTGGATGCAGTTTAAGAGTTTCCAAATACAAAATACACAAAAAAAGGGCAATTTGAGTTCTACTGTTTGTTAGTATCGTAGTTCCACTTCAACACTGAAACAAACATGTCTTGACTGCTCGACTAAATGTAGCTCAAGTGGAAAATTGGATAAATTTGATTTTTCACAAAACAAATTTACCCAAAATGTATCAAATGTATCCAAACCTGACTTTTAGCATGACAATAACAACATATTAAAACACAAAGACATAAATGGTCATGGTGGTCAGGCCCCACATCTGGTCTCTGAGGCAATCTATAGCTGCTTTTCCACTGCATGGTCCTGACTCAATGTGTTTGGTTTTCCACTAGGCAAATCTAGTTCCTGATACTGGGTATTATTTTTGGTAAAACCTCCGCTGAGGTTCCAAGTGAGCTGAGTCGATACCAAAATGTAATGTAAACATTACAGACTACTGATTGGTTGGAGAGAACTGAATTAAACCCGTATGCTAACGTTAGCTACCAGGTTAGCGTACCCTCGTGTCACCTTTGAGCAACCAGAACCGTATCGTCGTCTGAACTCTGATGTAGTATTTCCTGAACTCTCCTGTTTTTTTCTTTTGTCTTGCTGATATCAGCCTTATCTTAACAAAATGTGTCTCCTTCATGTCACGTCAGTTTCGTTTGGTGTCACTATGACGACCAGCTACACTGAAGTGGAAAACTAAGTAGCATTTAAGTGAATTTAAGTGAATAACAAAGCTGCCTTAAAATGTTAAGAGTTTTGAAGTTTTTCAAGTTCTGTTACTAGTTTAAATTTCTGTTACTAGTTTTTAAAGCTTTTAAAATGACCTTAACGACACCTGCGCACCTCAAAGAATGTCTGTCTGTCTATGCTCCAACACGTAATAAAGATCTGCAGCCAATATTGCTTGCAGTAAAAATATGCCATGCAGAAAGTGCTGTGATATGAAGCTATCTAATAAACTGTAATTGTGCACACATCTGCACAGAATTTAAGAGAATAATAAATAAAGCTGGAGTTTTGTAACTGTAGTTGGCTGTTTTTCTACGTATTTCTACCCTTTTCTATCTCAGTGTGTATGTATTTAAACTTGCTTATGCATTTGTTACAAGTTGATTACTGTAATGATCTTTATACTGGGCTTCCTAAGAAAATCCAACCTCCTCAAGCCATAGAAAAGGTGCCAGCATGGATCCTAACAAACACAAAAAAGATTGCTCATATCATCCTCGTTTTGAAAGAACAGCACTGGCCACCTGCATCTTTTAGGGTAGATTGTAAAGTTCTGTTACCATTTTCTGAAGCTTTAAAATGACCTTAAAGCACCTGCACATCTCACAGAACGTCTGTTTATGTTCCAACACATGACAAAGATCTGCAGATACTGACCTTCTGCAAATACCTTCCGCAAAATACAGACAAGGTGGGGTGGCCTCTTTCGGTTACTATGCCTCGCAACTTTGGAACATTTAAATCAAATTCAAGGTCTTTTTAAATTCAAGATTTTTATTTAGTACTCAGAATTTACTGCTATAGTACTGCTAGTACTCAGAATTTACTGCTATTACTGTTAAGCTTCATCACCTACCACCACTTTGAGCTGCCATCAGTATGAAAAGTGCTCTAAAAATACATTATTTATTCTTCTTCTTATTATTATTATTATTATTATTATTATTATTATTATTACAGGGTTGTAGTGTCTGAGTATAGTACTTTTAGATGGCCATCTGAAATAAAATTATATATATATATATATATATATATATTTGCATTTCCAGTGTGCTTTGGTAACAAAAGGAACAGAATGTAAGTATCATTAAATGCTTTCCAGGTACACTGTGGTCTTTCCTCTGTCTGCCGTAGGATGTCAACATCTCCTATTTAGCTTTTTCCATGTACTGTACATCCACACAACACAGCCTAGCAGTGGTGTAATACCTGCAACTACAACCCTGCAGTCAGCATTATTAAAGTAGTTCATCTAACCAGACAGGTGGAGACTAGCAGAGCATCACAGAGGGAATGCAGAGGCCGCAGTATGTAGCACGCTTGAAAAACAGCCATCCTATGCAAACACAGCACAGTTAACACTGCACTAAACATGACAAACAGGTCCTAATATTTTATATTTATCTATAACTCAAGTACTTCAATTCTGAAAACTTCACTCACACTGATATTCAATAAAAGTGATACTATTATAAAAGAGGTACCATTCTCACATTCTAACAGGGTACCATTTAGAGATTACACTATTTTTCTTTTTCAACACCAATATCGAACTCTTGAGCATTAGCCCATGCAGATACCAATATTCTATCAGCCTTAAAATCTGCTATTTTTTAATCAAAGCACTTCATTTAAAATGAACAACTACTCAAACATCATCACATCACACACTGTGACTGTGTGTTACTTCAGGATACATTTGTTACAAGACTGGATTCATTTGTTGACATCTGCATTTTCTGATTTTAGCCCCATGTCAATACCCATCAATACAGACATGCCATCTCTAGCACTATTCTCACATTGTTGCCCGTTGGAACCCTCCACTGCATCAATTTGACTCGTCTGTATCAAAAACTTTTGCCCAGAAGAGGTCGCTAGTGGCGTAAACATGGGACTAGAGTTCAGAGAGAGTCACACTGTTCAAAAACTCATTCGAAAATATTCTGTGATTCAATGAAAGGAGACCAAAGAAGGTCCATACTATCACACCCGTCAATCACTGGGTAGTTGCCCACTGACGATTCAGCCTCACTGCGAACACAAGTCATAATATTTGAATATTGAGTTTGAAATAATGAAATCAAATAAGGGTTACTGTCTTCTGAATTTGTTCTTATACATCTTTTTATAAGCATAAAGATATGTTAAAAAGCAGCAGGAAACAGTTACACTATAAGCAATGAACTACACTGCAGTCATCTCTGTTCCTACACCATATGCTAAATAACAAGCACAGAGATGCACATGTAAAATGTGCACACAAGCATTTAGACATATCAGAACTCTTTAAGAACAATGGGCCTCATTCACCAATAATTAATTTTTTTTTTCTTAAATTTGTTCTTGAGGAGAAGTCTACGTCAGATTCATGACGCGTTCTTAAACCACAGAACTGTTCACACCTTTTTGCCCTTGAGTGTGCATAGATTCAGTCCAATGAATCAAACTGTGTGATGGGTGGTGAATAAGGCCCATTGCTTGATGATAATTAAGCTTGTTTTGTTTGGAGAAAGAAAGGTTGCATGTATTATTCCAAAACACCATACCCACAGTGAAGTACGGAGGTGGGAGCATCATTATATGGGGCATATTGGGGTAGTGGGGCATTACAAGTTATTAAAGAAAACAGGAATGGAGCGATGTATCGGGATATATTAGAGGACAATTTAAACTCACTGGTCAAGAAACTGAATATGGTAAGAAGATGGAGGTTTCAGCAAGACAAGAAGTCCAACACGCAGCACCAAAGAGACCTGTTAGAGGCCTACTGAGAAGACTATCATCGTCGTGATATCCAACAGCTTTAGCAAACACCGCATTTTATTTATGGGTAATGTGTCTACTCATATAAATTTGATGGAATATGTTTTTTCAATATTACTTCATTAATATATCACATTCAGTATCCATTCTTACAGTCTACTCAGCGTAGGCCTACTCACCATGTACATTAAGATGTCTCGTATCATGACCATGGCTGTCTGGTGGTCATTCCATGCTTGGTTTAATGTCTGTAGGAAATTATTGTTTAAGGAGTTGAGTACATCTTCTCGTACCTGAAAATAAAACCAAAAACAAACACAAACATGTTATTCTGGGCCACCTGTGTTTCTCTGATGACCTCATCCACCTGTAAATTCCAATGGGACAGGGAGAGGTTACTAGTCCCCCTGTGACAGCGCTTGCATCATTAAACACAAAGAACAAAGCAGGCCAATATAATTGGAAAGAACCCAACCACAGTTTAAAACGTAGAGAATGACATTAAAATCGTTGGAGACTTTCAACTTTAAACAAATCAGTCAGTTAAAATTCAAATTAGGGAGCTGTTGGACTTGACAGGCATGCTTATGCACCTCCACCTTCTGTACACACCTTCCATGAGCCGTTACTATCCAGTCACACTTATGGAATTGTTTTTGGTTTGTTTATTTCAGTGCTACTGATTCAGAGTGCCAAGATGCAATTATGAAACCATTCTTGATGCACCTTGATGCATCTAGATTTTTACTACTACTAGCGTACACTATGATTTTTTTCACTTTATTGGTCATTAACGAATAGCGTTAACCTACGCTGCACACTTATTAGGTGTAAGCTGAAATCTAAAATAAAGAAAAAGAAATTGTGACCATCTTTTTATTCTTTGTGTCACAAATGGTGCACAGTGCAGTCCTTAGTGTTCACTTTTCCATTAGAAACATTAGGTACTGAAAAGAAAAAGAAAAATATTAATAAAAAAAAAAATGAAGTCGAGAACACCTTCCACAGAGCACTGCAAGGTAACACTAAAACACTCAAAATAAAAAGTAAAGCACAGAAAATTCCATACAGAAAATTATAATCAAAAATATATGCATATATAGCACTGTTTAACGTACAAACTTCTACAAAACTACTTGCAAATTCTTTTTGACCTGTATGAAATTGAAAATGGTAAAACACAACACAATATTTTATGTTTTACCATACGAACACTGTTTTTTGTAAATATGCTCTTTCAAAATTTAATGTCTGCAACATGTTCTAAAAAAGCTGGGACAAGAGCATGTTTACCACGGTGGTACATCGCAAGTCTTCAGTTATCCAACGGTACATTAGCGCTTAATAATACACCATATGTTCTCAATAGCACACAGGCAGGCCAGTCTAGCATCCACACTCTCTGTTGCAGCTACACCGTTCTAACGTGCAGAATGTTTCTTGGCATAGTCATGTTGAAATTAGCAGGGATGTCCCTGAAAAAGACTAGTTCTAGAAAGCTGCACATGTTGCTCTAAAATGCAATGTCTTCGTACTGTTTTCGTTTATATACAGATCGAAGTAGATTTGTAAATCACTGCTTTACGTTTTTATTTACATAATAGCTTCTACTTCATGGCCTTTCCATCTAAAGGCCACCACTACGCTATTGCTACCTTTTATCAGCACTTTAATTAGATGTTATGTTAGCAGCAATCTAACACTGCCTTGACTGTCCCAGACTGGTTTCAATACTCATAAGATGATCTAACCTAAATGTGAACATTTGAAGCTTATACAGATGCTTCAGTACCACATTTTTTCTTTGAATGTTCCAGGTGTATTGTAAGTCTCCTAAACAGCCTAAGTCTAACTCTGAATTAGGGCTGGGCAATATGACAATATGTACTGTTACTTTTCTAAGCATACCGTGAATATTGTACAGTAAAAAAAAAACAAACAAAAACAAACAAACAAACAAACAAACAAAAAACACCTCACCAAATGCATGTTTGCTTACAAACACTGCACACTCAGCCCAGTTTAAGTGGATTTAGTGCAGCACAGTAGCCGAAACACTGAATACAAATTACTGGATTATTTTTTGATAGTATTCATCCAGTGTGGCACTATTTTGTCTGTTCAAACTTACACATCTTTCCTGACATTTGATATCATGACAGGTCATAAAAACTTATTACATCTTTGCCATACTGCAAAACTATATTACTATCACTATGGTTTCAGGCCTTTGATTTCACATTTCCTCATGCTAGCCGGGCTGTACCAAAATATCCCACTTTAAAATGTCTCTGGACGCACACATACGTTTTTAAGTAGGACAAAAACCTTATTATGATTATTAATCAACTCAAAATATTTCAAGAAAGAATCATGATGCATCTAAGAAACAATTCCAAAACACTTTACTGGAAAATGACAAACACACACACACAGGCCACTTCACAAAACACGTTGTTATCAGCTACACTTACCATAGAGGTGCACTTCGTAGTTCTAAAAATTACAGACTGTAGACCATTTGTTTTTGTGCATATTTTTTTTAGCCCTCCTCTTACTCTGTTCTCCAGTGGTCAGGACTCCCACGGGACCACCACATTTGGGTGGTGGATCATTTGCAGCACTGCAGTGACACTGACGTGGTGGTGGTACGTTTGTGTTCAGTTGCTATGAGTGGGTCAGACACAGCAGTGCTGCTGGAGTTTTTAAACACTGTATCCAATAACTGTCCACTCTAGACACACCTCTCTTGTTGGACCACCTTGTAGATATAACATCAGAGAAAATAGCTCATCTGTTGCTGCACAGTTTGTTAATCATCTTCTAGTCACGGGATGCTGTTGGCTGGATATTTACAGTTGGTAGACTATTCTCAACCCAGCAGTGACACTGAGGTGTTTAAAAACTCCAGCAGCACTGCTGTGTCTGATCCACTCACACCAGCACAACACACACACTAACACGCCACTACGTCAGTGTCACTGCAGTGCTGAGAAAGATCCACCACCCAAAAAATACCTGCTCTGTGGTGGTCTTGTGGGGTTCCGGACCATTAAAAAAACAGAGTAAAAGGGGGTATGCAGAGAAACGGATGGACTTAAGTCTGCACTAGTCTGAAATATGAAGTGGACCTATCAGTGGCGTTGATAAAATAGACAAAGCAGATACAGTGCAGAGACAAGGAGATGTCCTTAAAGGGTCTAGTCGGTGTATAAACGGTATGTGGCAAAAATTATGTATAAAAGGGTGTTCATCAGGCTGTTTCTTACTATAAAAGAGAACAGCTAGAGAATTTAAAATAAGCATCATCATAATGTAAATTGCCAAGCAATCACAGACGATTCATGATTTTAATTTCTGATTGTTTCTAATTAAGTAATCAATTTTAATCAAGTAATTGTGACAGCTCTAGTTTATTTACAGTGCCAAACAATACATATCAATATCAAAGCTAAAATTACTGCCACTCAATTACACTTTTAAAGGACCAACATGCTCATCAACTCAATCAACTAAAAAGTTCATGAACTATAAACAGAACACTACGAAAGGCCGATCATACTTTACTGATAAGGTGCTCGGTGACGACCTCCCGCAGGCCTGTGTAGAGCTTCTCGCCGTGTTTGTGCAGCACCATGGTGTACGCGTTCCTGTAAAGCTCCTCGAAGCTAAGTCCGCTGTTGTTCTTCCTCTGGATCTCCTGAATGGCGTTCTTCAGAAGGTCCCAGATGTTGTTTACATACTTCTCGTCCATGGTCATCTGCAAAATAACAGATATAGATTTAATATTCCTCCGCTTTAAGGAAACTCTTACCCTATATTTAAATTATGAACCAGAGTGCTATCTAAGTATAAAGTTCAAGATCAAGGGAGACTGCTTACTGTATTACTAACTCTATAGTGAATAGACAATGCAGACACTGGAGAAGCTGAATGCCATGTTCCAACAAACTAACTTTAAACTAAAATACTAACATGGATAACAGTAGACAAAATCCAGTGGGGACCAGTTAGCATGAACATGTTAGGATTAACATGACTTAATGCAGACGCCATGTACATAATGCAGTTCAATTACAATCTCATGCACTCCACATTTTGGTTAGTTTTACTTGCTTGGACACGTCTAGGGATGCTCACAACCAACCTAACTGTTTATTATTATATTTTCCATTAATCTAAAATCTGTCCATGTCACTGGAACTTGTCAATTCCTCATTGTCATTAAAGCAAAAATTGTGTTGTGGTTTAGATTTGTCATTAGCATTTAGGGTAACTACATAACTATAAGTCTACAATATCACTTTGTAAAATTACTATTCCACAATAACAAGGTCCTATTCTGATCCCATGGATCGGGATCAGGGCCGATCCAGGTATATTTTAATGGATCAGATATCAGCCAAAATAAGCCTGATCCATGTATGATCCTCTACTGGGGGCTGTAACAGCACCCCAGCATGCTAGTGCATAACAGCTGTCTGCAGCCCCCAACTATTAAAACTTACATTCATATGATACAACTTGGTATAATTATAAACTTTCATATCACTGATCTGCAGTAGCTCAAAAGTGGGTAAATTACATTTATAATGCTTTAATTTCCTGTGTCTATCAAATGGCCCTGGAGCTATCTTGGTTAAAAATAAGTGGAATCGAGTAGTCAACTTCAGCAGCAGGAGTCGAGAGCCAGACTCGATTCCAGAAAAAAATTATATACATTTACATAAAAAATTAAGTGTTTTTACTGCAGTATCATGTATCAGACCGGTGTTGCACAACTCACATATTAAAATTAACTGATTTTACTGCAATTTAATCTAACAAGAAGCAATTTAACCTGAGATTTCATAGACACTCAGATTCATTCAGAAAATCCAACTGTGTTCTCCTGTTCTGCTCATATGATACGGTCCCTCCTCTGAGTGGAGCTTGTAAATAATCACAACAGACAGACAGGAGCACACAGCTAACTTTTTATGCATCAGAAAGGTGAAAACTTGCATCCCACCCAGCTTAGAGAAGCAAAAAATGTTCATTCTCACGAATACACTTTTGTTTGCAGTAGAGATGAAACGATATTAAAATTTCATATCACGATTATCATGACCAGAATTATCACGATTATCGATATTATCGCGATATTGTTCAAAAGCGTTGAAAAGTAAAATAAATAAATAAATAAATAAATACTGATACACAAACTGAAATTCGTTTCACCATTACTATTATTATTATTATTATTACTGTTGTCAAATTATTATTATTATTACTGCTGTTATTATTATTATTATTATTATTATTATTAATTACAATAATTAGGGATTTCCCTGCATAGAGAATTAAATCTCCACCAACTCTGAGGTGGGTCTTAATGGAAAATTACTACTTCTAAGACGTGCTGCACTCGGGGGATTTCTGTCCGAACTGCAGCTGCAGCATTATTGTGCCGTTGTGGCGCTGAACCCCTAATCAATACAGTGCACCAAGAAAAACAGCCAAAATCACAGAGGAATTGCATGACCGCGCTGTGAGCTGCAGACAGTGTAGAACTCATACAGCGTGTCTCCACCTGTGGAGCTGCTTCTCTAAAAGCATTTAAACTAAAACATAACTTAAAATTAACGCGCATCTGAGCTGCGGCAGAAACACTCCCAAAGTTTAATCTCTGAAACTCTCCTTTTACTAAAAGCAGCACACAGCGTTTACTCGCGAGGTCCCGTCTCAAGGCACACTACCTTCCCTATGTAGTGCACTTCGTAGATCATGAAATAGCAAATCCTTCACCCAAAGAGTGCGTGAAACGTTCGACTAAGTCATCTATAATCAACATTAACAACAGGTTACAAATTCCCTATTTAAAACTCAACTGCTTGTTAATGATGATCGTGTTTTGTTTGAACAGTAGTGCACTATGTAGGGGACACTGAGTGATTTGAGACGGTGTTATTCTCCTCTCAGACAGTAAACACTGCAAGCGAGAAAGGGGAGCTGCGCAGATTGAACCTCTGCAGCGTCTCGTTCCAGAGCTTATGTGACTTAACTCAGAGCTCATTTTGGAGACTCTGCTCCACAGAAATGTGTTAAAAGCTTTAGTTTCGATTCACAGCTGATTCACTGATTGTTTTTCTTTTTTTTTTTGATGCTAAAAGCTTCATTTTATATTATTAACGGACCATAAGCATAAGTTAAACCACACAGACCAGGACATCTCGTCTATTTCGAAGTCCCCACAGACTTCTCCGTTAAAGTTAACCTTGCATTCTCTAAAAAGTAGCAGGTGGTGGTTGCGAAGATGACTCGTAGGGTTTGATGTGTTGCCCCCTTTCGCCGCTGTTTTCTTTAGGCCTGTTCTGCAGACAGGGTGGTCATCTTCAATTAACTTTCCTTCTGCATCCTTATAAAACCCAAAACATGACCAAACGTCAGATTTGGTCTTCTTAGAAGGCTGAAATATCTCTGAATCTGTCACTACATTCCGCCGTGTTCTCTCTTCTCTCCCTCTCATATACCTACTGCATACAAAGTAAAAAACTGAAACCTGAGTGTCTGTTACACACTTCTTTTGTCCGCAGGCTGTGTGTAGACTCAAACCATATTAGCACTGAATCCAATGTAGGGAAAACTCCACCGCCGTTACTGTAATGCTTTCATATAATGAAGAACGCTCATTTCTGCTAGCAGGAAAATGACACTCTTGTTGCTTGCTTTTTTGATAAACAGAGGCTGCTAATAAAGTAAAGGTTTCCACCTTAAGCACTGTTATATAATGACTGCTGCAGCAGTACACAATTATAAAACAATGAAGCCCAGCATATGCCATTTATATGCTGTATAATGTACCGGTACTAGTAGTTTATTCTGTGTTGTATTATGCTAGAGCAGCTTCACTGCTTTTGGTAAAGGTCTTAATGTTCTATGGAACGTTATCAGCAGGTCCTCAAGTTTTTTTCCTTTAATTTTTATTTTTGTAATGATTGTATTATGTATTGTACATACACCCCTTTTGGCATCCAGATTGTTACTTCATAACATTAAAAATATACAAACCCAACACCAAAAAAAGATGGGACAGTATGTGAAATGCATAAAACTGGAAAGCAGTGACATCTTTTTTTTTCTTAACCATAAATAAAAAATAAAAAAAAATCTGAACACAAGATATGTATATATGTATGCATATACATTTTATCAACTTTGTTCTGAAACTGATGCCTGCTACAAATTCCACAAAAGTTGGGACAGGGTCATTTAAGACTAGAAATGTTGTGAAATGTTCAAATCCATCCTAAACAGGAAATGTGATTATGGTAGAAGTACCCAGGAAAGGCTTGATCCTTTATGAGCAGGAAAGGGTCATCAGCCAAAAAACAACAATTTAAAAATCAAGCAAGCGACTGCAGAGATTTTAGGTACTTCACCCTCTACAGTGCATGTTACTATCAATGTATTCAGGAAATCCAGAGAAATCTGTAAAGGACAAGGCTGAAAACCTTAACTGAAGGATCGTGATGTTCAACCCTTCAAAAGGCACTGCACTGCACGGGTATGTTTATGTGATGATTATCACCACATGGGCTCGACTTTGACAAACTGTTGTCTATAAACACCATTCATCGCTGCATCCACAAATGCAAAACTGTACTATGCACAGTGGAAGCCATATGTCAACAGCATCCAGAAAGGCTGCAGATTTTCTGGGTTGGAGCTCATCTAAAATGGACTGAGGAACAGTAGAAACATATTGTGGTCTGACCACTGAACCTTTAAGATTATTCATGGAAAAAATAGACATTGTGTTCTCCAGGCAAAATATGCAAAGGACCATCCATATTTTTACCAGTTTAAAGTTCAAAAGCCTGGTTCTGTCATAAGGGTGTATTTGCTGGCAATGTGTATCTGTGAAGGAACCATTATAGCAGAACACATTTTGAGCAACATATACTGCCCTCTAGACAACGTCTTTTTCAGGGACGTACTTGCTTGTTTCAACATAACACCACCAATCCACAGTATGAGTGTTTTCAGAGAACGCTGATGCTAGAACTGCCTGTCTGCTATCCAGACCTGTCTGCCATTGGCCATGTGTGCAAAACAACAATTAAGGACCCATACAGGAAAAATGTCTCAAAAAATTGAATTGGGTTTGTATTGCCTTTTTTATTTTGGTATAATACAACATTGTGATATTGTAAAACTCTGATAATTGATACTGTTCTGTACCGTATTCAGTATTAACAAGGTCGGATGAGGATATTTCTACACACTGTGCTCACTGAACAATGAACGGACACTGTATGACACACTATAAAAATGCTATAAAATGGACAAAATGATAAAAAATCTGTTATAGACAACAGTATGTCATACAATGTCAGAAACCACATAAGCAAGTATACTGGAGACTACTTAACAAATCATTCCAGTTTGAGCCAAGCGTGTGATGATTTAGCCAAGCAGTTTGCACAATGCTGATTGGCGAGGCTTCCATTACTGGTTAGCTACTTTGCCTCATAGTTCCAATGAAAGTAATGAAGCCAACATCTCTTTCCTAGTCAAATATATTTAGGTTAAGGGGAGAAACTGCAAATATGACTTTTTTGCCAAACTATCACTATATGCAGTGTTATCGTCATCAACTGTCATACATCAGGACTTACCACCCACATCTCACTTATCACCCACTACTGTTTTCACACTGTTCTTACTGTTCCTAATGTAACTTGGCTTAGACGTGTGCTGACTCGTCTGTAGATCTGA